CACCTCAAATGAAAATTTCCTTATAATTTAGTCACCCTAATGCCATCCAAGATGTTCATGTATTTCTTTCTTCAGTGGAAAAGAAATTAAGTCCATTGTGTGGATTTTTCTCCACACAATTAACTTCAAGCGCAACCAACATGTTGCTCTTGAAGCCATACGATGGTCATTTAAAAAAAAAAAAAGTTTATTATTATTTTATTGCCATTACCTGTTTTCCATTTTTCTTTAGTTGGTTATTGGATGTGAAAAGGAAATGCTTCTTCCCTAATACTGCACTTTAGATGTGTTTGAATTTCCCACACCAGGAGTAATTTATATAGTTCCGTTTTATAGCGATTATCTGTTCAAAAAATGTTCTATGCAAAATGTTCTATTAAAGAGAAGCTAGAAAATACATTTTTGTGTGTGCTGTAAAGTGGTTTGAAAAAAATGAAATCAAAATCGGCTAAAATCGGTATAATCAGGTCAAACTCAAGGAAAAATCGGAAATCGGGATCGGCCTATAAAATTGTAATCAGTGCAATTCTAATATGAATAACAAAGGACCAGTTTCAGCTTCTTTACTGTTCTACTGAAGAAGGGCATCTTGGATGACCTGAGGGTGAGTAAATTTTCATTTTTCATTTAACTTTAACATAATAGTTACAGGGGAAAATGATGATTACCAGTGCAGTTGAAATAGAAGGCTCTGTTTGAGTTTGAAATAGTTACAATGTTGTGTATGCTGCTGTGTGTGCATCTGTATCAAACCTGTAAGAACACCCAGTGTAAGATACAGGAACTCTACGCTCGTGGCCAGTGAGCTGAGCACCAGACCGGCAGAGGAAAGAAGTCCACCAATCATGACAGCTACACGAGAAGAGAGGCGGTTCCCTATATAACTACCCAGTGGTGCTATAAAGAGAGAAAGAAAAAAAAGAATGAGGTGGTTTGCATGATAGTGGAAGTTTGTATTATTTTATGACTGATAACCGATTAATGGACAATATTAAAATTCACTAGATGTTGTACTCACATCTTGCATGTATAAAAAAAACCCGAAATGCAAAATTTTTAATTTTAAAAGCTACACGTGAATTTACAGTATGAAAAATAAAAGTAGTTTTGTTTTCATTTAAGAGTGTTTTTAAATTATTTAATTTCCACTTTAAATGAGTACAGTAATTAATCTAAATGTAAAGAAGGGAAATGATCATTCACTATTAAATTTTGACTGATAAATATACATTATCAACCTTTACCACTTAATTTAAAAATAATATCAGCCCACCAACTGATATGGAACAGATAAATTGTTCATCATGCAGAAAAATTTAACTCACTAGTATTTAACTAATTATTAAAATCATTGAATCAACCCAATATATTAAATTACACAAAAAAACGTTTTAATATAAAAATAATAAAGTATCAGGTAAAATAAAAGCTCAAGATCACCACTTTAGTAGTTAGTATTAACGTTAACTTTTTAAAAATAAACCCTATCATTTGTATTTATATGGGTTTGTATGGTTTGTCCTCACGATTAATGAATATTGTGTAAATGTATGCATCACAATTGATACGATAAAATAATCTAAATGCTTGTAAAGAATCAGTGGACAAATAGATACCAAAAGATACACCCAAAACCCCCACATAAATAATAAAATGTGTTTCTGTGAATACTCTTTCTCACTGGCAGCCAGATCAATCTGGTCTGTGGACTATGCACTGTAAAACTGTCAACACAGATTTTTTTTAAAGACAAAGTTCTCCTAAAATCAATATAGTTGAGCTGCCACCTCGAAGTCACAGAGTTGTTCAGAGGGTTATTCAGAGTCTTACCACACAACATTGTAGTGCAGTCCAGCAGAGAATGTATCCATGCGGTTGAAGAATAATCTCTGGAAAAGTATGACTGGAATTCCACAAAAAAGATAGAAACACACCTGCAACCAGCATGAAAAGGAAGCAATATGAAAACATTCAACTGTTGCTTACTGCAACATTCATTTTAGTCCTTTTAAGAACAACATTTGCTATCAACATCCAAAACTGGGTATTTTTCCCGGAGTAGTTATCCTGCTTATTGAATGATTCATCTTGGTTGAGTTTAAAGGCCTTTTCCGCAGCATTTAGTTATATTTAGTCTCACATTAAAGAGGATATTTTATGCTTTATTAAATTTTCTACTTCCTTTGTGTGTAATGTTGCTGTTTGAGCATCAAAAATGTCTGCAAAGTTACAGAGCACAAAGTACACTCCAGAGGGAGTTATTCTCTAAATCAGTAAGCAAAAAATGCTTCGACTGTCGTCTTGAGAGTTTTCTTCCAGGAACGTACACGTCACAATATTCCTCATTTAAATAATTCCCGCCAAAAGGCGAGGCATGGTGGACTTGCGTTAGTACTGTGTTGTTACTCGCTGTTATGGTGGCATGGCATTTCTGAAACATGTTGGAAGCAGTTGACCAATCACAACACACTTGTCCAGCTGACCAATCAGAGCATATTACGCTTTCGGAAGAAGGGGCTTTATAGAGACAGAAACTAAAAGGAGCGTTACTGACAGACTGGGAAGAGAGGTGCTGCAACAATGTAAAATATGTGAATAATAATGTGTTTAAAAACCAATTCTAGTAGACTCCAAAAACAAAATCAAGACCTTAATATGGCAAAACAGAGGTGATGTGAGGGTATCACCTTGATTCCTGGTAAGCAAAGAAGTGCATATATAACCACGTGTCTGTGGGGAGTCATGTACTGACCTAGTGACCGCACGTGTGCAAACGGTGGTGAGGAAACATCCAGCCACGATCATCCAGCCCCATCCGCCATCCGGAGTGGCCCCTGAATGTGTTTTTTTTTCAGTCATCTCCAGTCCTCTCTTTATACTCGACCTCACTCTCTCACTCCTTTCAGCCTCTTGTTTCCTCTTCAGTCCAGTTTTAGCTGGTTTTGTTCTCTCCAGCTCTGTTTGGGACGTATTTACTTGTTGTTTTTCTCTCATTACTTCTGTTCCTTCTTGCTTTCATCTATAAGGAGCTTTTAAATGCCATCAAGCAAAATCTGCAGCAGAAACAGAATTTTTTTCAATCCTAGCCGCTGTTAAGTAAAATCTGTGGTAATAAAAGTGAAATTGCTTCAAATTATATTGTCGTGTTTTGGATTAAAAAATAAATGTCTCTGAGATTAATAAAAAAAAATTTGAGACAAGAAAATTAACATTCTTGTCATAATTTACTCAGTGAGTGAGAGACCTGGCAAAGAAAAAAGAACAAAATTGTCGCAGGCCGAGTCTATCCTGCTACATACTACACCCTGAGATGTTTTCCATGATACAGAAAGTGACCAAGTTACACACACTAGTCTGATTCAAAGGGAGGCGAGGAACAGTGTGTTTTTTATCAATGCCAAGAAAGAGAGCCAAAAACGACTTCATGGGGCAATAGCAGTTACTTATTTCAAAAATTAGTAAACATGAAACGAAGCTTCATTCAGTGTTAGATTTGGTCCTGGACTCACCTCAATCTATGTCTGGTAAACCAGATCAAAGTCAGACCTGATGCAATGACTTAGAGTCCTTAATTTAAAGACTTAACAGGCCGCCTCACTGATGGAACGTCTTGAAAAAAAGGTCACAATAACATTAAAGACAAAAGATTTCAACTTTTTCAACTTTGGCCTAGCATACACAACACACTAGACATCTAAAATGTGCCGGAACCCGGTACATGTCACGTAAATCCTGATGTACTTGGTACATCATAAGAAGGATGGTGTCTACTCTAATTTTAGTCTCTCTGTTTATCTCGAGGGACCCTCTATGGTGGACCTGCGCCTGGACCCATTTCAGCTCATCCTGAAGTGCCGACCTCATCAACCCTATGAAGGCCTCATCGATACGACAGCCATCGGCACTGATCCTCAACAACTCGTCTCCATACCGGCGTGATTACTTCCAAACAGATGGAAATGGATAAATACTCTAAATGTTCTGATCCAATTTGACTTGTAGTTCCGCCTGAATCATACACTGTTTCTTCATTGGCCAGAGGAGAACTGGCCCTCCTACTGAGTCTGGTTTCTCCTAAGGTTTTTTTCTCCATTCAGTCACCTGATGGAGTTTTGGTTCCTTGCCACTGTTGCCTTGGCTTTTGGCTTGCTTAGTTGGGGACATTTAATATTCAACAATATTATTGATTTGCCTTTCTTAAGGTGGACGTTGACGTAATTTTCTTCTAGAAACAAACTTTGTTGTATTATTTTCATATTAATTCTGTGAAGCTGCTTTGATACAATATGTATTGTTTCTAAAGGTTTCATCATCATCATCATCATCATCATCATCAAAAAAAAAACTGTATTACAGTTTCCACAAAAATATTAAGCAGCTGTTTTCATCGGATATTATATGCTTTAGTTACAATTATCAATAAATAAATTAATGTTGGCTAGTATGCACTATATTGTAAGTGAAACAAAATAATTAGTCATTGAAAAGTTGTAACCAGTAGAGGTCAGAAGAGTGAACATGTAAACATAATTCTGGATCAATGAAGGTACAAGCTCAAGGAACAAGATAATTATGAATTAGCATATGTGAAGAGTAATTGTTAGGGAGTTTTTCTTAACAACATACAAACAACAAAATTCATGACTGAGCTTTCGAAATGGTCAAAAAGAAGCGCACTTACTTTGCAACATATTTCCCAGTGTACAAAATCTGGAACAGACGAAGATCAAAAATAACCACTGCTCTCCTCCAAAGTGTGGTACACATTGGCGCACATGGCTCTGCATCACTGCGGGGCGTGCGCGCGCTCTTGGACAGATCAACAGGGCGGAAACTACAGCCAGCCAACGTGAGGTGGAAGTAGAGGGGGCTGCTCTAAACTCGCTGTCCTGGTAAGATATTTACCACGGTTCCCCTTCACTTCACCCTGTGTGCAAATTATTATTATACAGCGACTTTCAGAGGGTTTCACTGTTAAATGGAATTTCAAAAAGAAGTTTTCAGGACACAATCTATTGAAGTTCGTCTCGAGCAAACCAAGCTCTCTTTTGGGCAAACTCCCATGGAATCTTGTGTCCGCCATGGAATATAACAATTTAAAGGATAATTTCGACTTTTGAAGTCAGAATTGTGATATATAAAGTCAATTGTGAAATATGAACTCGCAATTCCGAGGTAAGTTCAATTATGAGGGGGGAAAGACTGACTTCTCGACTTTTTCCTCATAATTGCGAGTTTATATCTTACAATTCACGTAATTCTTTTTTTAATGACACAAAAACGTTCATTGAAATATATTTAAAATGCAAATCTATAGTTCTAAATAATAGTGTTTGTTTTGCCCATAGACTGGTTTTGCAGAGGTGAAAGCCAGGTGAAAATACGCCTTGAATTAATTGTAACGTACTTTTTTGGCTACTGAAGTGTTTGAAAACCCAAGAGAAACATAATATATATAATTTTAAAACTGTCCCTCACAGTTTGTTTTGAGTTCCCGGATCAATCCCATGCTTAACTGAGGGGATTTGGACCTGATCGGGACAGGAGATAACGGAACGGCGATTTACCCCTAGGGGTAATTGGGGTATGGGATTTAATTGTTCTTTTTGGCCCCCTTCCTTCTCTCAGGTTCAGTATAGTGTAGGCGTACTTTTAATAAGTAACTGAAATGTATACAATCAAATATTAAGACAAAATAAAAAAAGAAAATGCGGAGAGATTTTTTTTTATTATTATTATTATTATTATTTTTTTTACGATTTTCGCATCAGTGATGACTTTCACAAACCTGTGCATTTGTTAAAGTGTAAGCCTTTCAAATGGGTGACTGAATAATTGAAAATAATATAAAAGTGGTTATTTCCTGGTGGAGAAATAGCTATTTTTATAAATGATGATAGAATTTTCATTTTTGGGTGAACTATCCCTTTAAGAGACTTATATCCCAGTTTAAGAGATCCTGCGTTTAAAATTGACAGTAGGATTCAAAAGAAAAGACACAGACAAAAAATCTTGAAGAGAAAAGAACAAAGTTGCAAATACTACCCTTTTCACTCTGCATGTGTAGCATTATTCAATTTGAAATGTAATTTGCAAAATGACAATGCAATATGTAAAATGGCATTGCATTTTGTATTTAATTTTACATTTTACATTACCATTCTTGCAACATTTGGTGCACTGCAAAATGAAAATGAAATGACATAATTTACATTTGCCATTCCATACACTAGTTTTAATATGCATATTTAATATGCATAAACGCTTTATAAGTGGCAAAATGAAAATGAATTACAGAAATGATTAGATATGTGTAACATGTTCAAGAAAAAACTGTGGCAAAATGATCATTCAAATAATATTTTTATTAATTGCATTTACAATCACAGTCAATACACTCGCGACTGCATTTTCTTGGCAGGCCAGGAGGGGGCGTGATCGGCTCGGAATGCATTTTCAAAATAGACATGAATATTGCTACATCCATTGCGGGGCATTTTGTGAAAATGCAATCGCGAGTGTCTTGACTGTGAGTGTAAATGCAATTAATAAAAATAGCATTTGAATGATAATTTTGCCACAGTTTTTGCTTGAACATGTTACAAATAGCCTATCTAATCATTTCTGTAATGCATTTTCATTTTCATTTTGCCACTTATAAAGCGTTTCAATATGCATATTAAAACTAGTGTATGAAATGGCAAATATAAATTATGTCATTTCATTTTCATTTTGCACCAAACGTTGCTAGAATGGTAATGTAAAACGTAAATTTAAATACAAAATGCAATGCCATTTTACAAATTGCATTGTCATTTTGCATATTACATTTCAAATTGAATAATGCTACACATAAGCTTCCATAGAAAATACAACAACAGAAAGAAATAAAATAACCACTCTAAAAACCAAACCAAACTAAACAAATGTGTAAAATCTGCAACAACTGAGAAATGCGCACACAAGACACAAATCTAGCGTCTGCGCATTCATAACGCCACAATGACGTGCACGAGCATACGCTCCCAGCAGCCTTTGCTGCTGCTCTCGCTTATCCGATTGGTGGAATTTGAAAATAAGTACGCGCGACAGTTTGGGAGACGAGACAACACAAATAAAACACATTAACCGAAGTCAAACACAACATAGCGCACACTCTGTCTTTTGACAGCCTGTAAGTCAACTAAATTATCTTGTTTTAATGCGCATGCTTTGCTGACCTGTTCTTATCTGCTGTTTTTACTGCTGTTTGTGAAAGTCCTGGTGTAATTCCCCCCTAGATTTAACGTTAACATATTTATAAAATATTGTGTACATTTTCTGTTTAAATGTACGTCGTAAGGTAATTGAGAAAGTTTAAAAATAATTAGGATCTTTAAAATGTCAAATGGTCTTATTAACATAAGAGGCTGTTGTTTCATTTTCCAAATTTTATGTCTCAAATGTTTATTTAGAGCAGAATGATGGAGTCGGGGCTAAAGGATGATCCGGCAAGACCGCAGATGTTGGTCGTGGAAGATCTAAGGAGAAATCTGTCGTCCGAGTTCAGCGAATGTTCAGGTTTACAGGTAAGATGACAGGCGGCCATGACTTTATGAAAGTGTATGTTTGTAAATGTATGATTTTTGAAATGGTCAACTGAAATGGTTGGAGCCTTGATGTTTCTTTTGTAGGACCCGTCAGACCAGGAGAAGGAACATTTGAAGGTGTATCTTAGAATAAGACCATTTTCATCAGCTGAGATGGTGAATGGAGAATCACAGGTGAAAATTAGGGAAAAATGGTTAAGGGGTATTTCACAAATTTCAAGCACCCCTAAAATTTAGACCCTAATGTAGAAGGGTTTTGATATGGTGTGCCTTGTCTGTGTTTTTGAAGGAATGTGTGGCCATTCAGACTCCAGAGACTGTGCTTCTCAAAGCTCCACGATCATCTCTCTCTGCCAGGCTCAGTGATAAATCAGTGCCAGTTACTGCTCAACGTTTCCAGTTCTCTCAGGCAAGCTAATCCATCAGAACACACCGTCTATAGTGACTGATTGTGTTGGCTAGTGGTTTTTTGACAACCAATTTGACAAACAAATATATCTTTGTAAATAAAATTCTCTTCTGTTTGGAAGTTCTGCTCTGTCTAGAATTATGGTCATATTTTCTAATGTATGACATACAAGGTTTATATTATTGTGTGGTATTTTTAGGTTTATGGCCCAGACGCTACACAGAAGGATATGTTTGAGGGCACAGTGAAGGGTCTTGTAAAGGATGTTTTAGAGGGACAAAATTCTCTGGTCTTCACATATGGTGTCACCAATGCTGGGAAGACCTTCACATTTTTTGGTTTGTATATTTTGTTATTGCATTGACACTTAATTATTTTCTAAAAAGAGGTAAAAGTTACTACATTTGAATAAAAAAATTACAAATATTTTATTTTCATTGAAGCAGTGTGCACCTAATGAATGTTTCGCCAAAAGGCCAGGAATGTGTATTAGGGTCAACAAATTAACATCCGTTTTTTTGATCAGAACAATCTTGTAAAGTAGGTTCTGTATTGATGATCTTGGGGATTTAGGCACAATGAAACAGAAGTAGACAATGAAGATATTTTTGATTAAATCCAAGAGCTTTCAGTCCCTCAATTTTAATCAATGCAATTTACACAGGTCCAGAATGATAGGAAAGACATCATTAAATTAATCCATTAATCCAAACTTCAATGCTTTGTTTACGCAAAAAACAACAACAAAAAACTCTATATTTACATAAAAATATTATCAAAAATCACTTTCACAGATTAACTTCTTGATGTCTTTCCTATCGTTCTGGATCTTGATTATGTAAATTTCATTGCTCCCAACGGAGGGACTGAAAGCTCTCGGATTTCATCAAAAAGATTAAAAATTATTAGTTTGTAAAAAAGAAACATACTCATGGATTATTTGCAATAAGATCATTAAGATAGCCTACCTTTAGTAAATAGAAAGGGTGAATTTCCTTTTCATGCTAAATTTAACAGACTTGCTTTGCTTTAGTAAAATATTCAAATTTAAGCATAATGTCCTGATTGAGTTTATGCATTAGGTCCAGATACAGATCCAGGCATCTTGCCACGTTCCCTCAACATGATCTTCAGTAGTCTGGATGGACGCATCTTCACTCAGATGTGCTTGAAACCCCAGAGGTGCCGGGATTTCATCAGACTCAACAAAGAGCAGCAAAATGAGGAAGCAGTTTGCAAACGCAACCTGCTCAAGCTTTTCAAAGAGGTACAATAATGCAATAAGTTTAACCCCCTCAGTTTTTACAGGAGTGTTCATTTGACTGAATCTTTAGATTTAATCTTCTCTTTAGACTGATGCACAGAAGTCTTCCCTCAGCTTGCAGTCTGATCTTGAAGGTAAAGAGAGAATTTTTCAGCTAGTGTGCACATCTCAAAGGTTGTGCTTGGCAGTCTGTTTATATTGTTTTTCTGGCTGAAACTATTTTTTGATTTCCTGTTAGATGGTTCCACTCTCTGCGATAGAAGCTCTGTAGCGAATGAGAGTAGTTTGCCTGCAGATATGGACAATCACACTAAGTTTTCTATATGGGTGTCGTTCTGCGAGATCTACAATGAGAACATTCACGACTTGCTAGAACAGCATGCGAGCAATGCTTCACGGAGAACCAACCTCCGCCTTTGTCAAGACGTCAAAGGAAACTCATTCATCAAAGGTAATGGAGCACCTGCGTCTGTAATTTGCTGCTGTTTTTTCTGTCAATAAATTGTTCATTTACTGTATATCCTCTCTATAAATTAAGATGGAGCTCATGGTACATCCAAGTCATACAATAAAGGTTTGCATGTAACAACAAAATGAGTCCAGCTTGTAAGGCTGGAATCGGAATGCAATAATGTGTCTTCATTTACATTTGACCCTTTTTTGCATTCCCTAGGAATCAAACTCATTGGCCTTTCTATTGCCATGTACTGTTTGAGCTACAGGAGTATTACACTGTAACATTTCTTTATTAAATCATTCCAAAAAAAAAATAATTACATATAGGTTCATTTGAATGTACTGGAGTGACATTCGGATTTGTTTGTTTGGAAATAATGTGTAATAGCTAAAACTGGCCAGGTGCTGGTGCTAGAGCAACAAGAAATAAATGTAGCAATAATAGCATTTCCATAGGTGATTCAGTTGGGTGATTAATAAAACTGTGTATGTAGTGTTTGCAGATTGCATTGTTGTTTTTTTGTTAATTTTCCAGATCTGAAATGGGTTCAAGTGAGCAGCGCTGATGAAGCCTTAAAAGTGATGAAACTTGGGAAAAGGAATCAGAGCATCTCCAGTACTAAACTCAACCTGCTTTCTAGCAGGAGGTACAAATTCCTTCCTAGTGCTTATCTGTTTTAATGTGGTGGATTCTGTATGGATCTGTTATTCTGACTTTGTCTCTCTTTGTTTAATTTTTAGCCACAGTATTTTCTCTGTCCGGATCCTGAAGGTGGAGGATGTGGGAATACCCAGAGTGGAGTCAGTCAGCGAGTGAGTCTGTGTGTTCTGGTCTGAGCTCTCTGCAGGGTGTTTGTGTTGTGTTTCAGAATGTTTTGTAAAAGTATGTACTCTGGTTCCAGGCTGGCATTGTGTGATCTGGCTGGATCGGAGCGATGTGCTAAGACTCAAAATAAAGGTGAACGGCTGAAAGAGGCGGGAAACATCAACACCTCTCTGCTCAGTCTGGGAAAATGCATCAATGCACTCAGAAATAACCAGCAGGCCAAGTATGCTAGTGCCTTTTTCTTTTCTTTTATTCTCCCATTTCTTTGTCTTTTAATCACTCTTTGTCCGTTTAGACAGCACATTCCATTCAGAGAGAGCAAACTCACTCACTATCTGCAGGGATACTTTACTGGCCGGGGCAAAGCCTGTATGATTGTAAACATCAACCAGTGCGCCTCAATGTATGATGAGACACTCAATGTCCTCAAGTTCTCTGCCGTAGCTCAAAAGGTATGTAAAAGTGCTGGGCTATATGACCAAAAATCCGTATCATGGTATTTTTCTAAATTATACCGGTTTCACGGTATTTGACAGGTTTTTTTTTCCTAAGCATGACTGCGTTAACCACATTTTTTACTGAGTGAGAGAGGAAATACTGCAGTAGATTGACTTAGAATTTCCTATTTTACTGTCATGAGTGAATATTGTAGAAAAAATCCACATTTAGTCTTAATACAGCTTTGCATAAGCTGCTTACAAATAGGTGCCAGCAGGCGGCGCTTTAGGAGCGACAGAAAACTCAGGTTTCAATAAAACTATCTTGGTTATATTTGTAATGAAAATGAACGGACTCATGGGTTTGAAATGACATTTTTTGGGTGAGCTATCCCTTTAAAATCGTTTTATTGCTTTCCCGTCATGTTTGTCAAGTTTCTTGACATTACTCAAATTTGTATTTAATTTTTTTCTTTCTCTGCTGAAAGGTTATTTGTAGTTGTGTTAATGGACAGTTCTGTCTTGTTTTTCAGGTGGTGGTCATCACCACTAAGAGCGTTCCAGTAGTGGTGAAAAGGAGTGCCAGAGAGGTGTCCTTCATTATCAACAATGTTGATCGACGGGAAATGCGACGTAGCTCGCTTGTACGATGGGACACCAGCCTTGAGGATGTCCAGGAAGATTCTGACACTGAGGAGGGGTGGGATGAAGAGGGGAGTGAAATGGAGGACACCATGCTGGACTCTGAGGAAGAAGGGAAAGAGACTGTGCTGCTTGATAAAAAGGTCTATGAGGTGAGTTTTGGCACATCTATGGTAACTTCAACAAGCATCGCACAAGAGGTTTTTAAGAATTATTTTTGCTGCATGATTTTGGTTGTATAACAATGAGGTTTCTGCATTAATCTGTTTTGAATGTGTATGTAAAGGCCCAGCTGCAGTTCATAGAGTCGATTCAGCAGCAGTTGAGGAAGGAGAAATTAGAACACTTAGCTCTCGAGGCGCATGTTCGGGATGAGGTTACAAAAGAGTTCTCTGAGCTGATTTCCCAGATGCAGGAAGATTACAGGTCAGAGATCACAGGCTCGCATGTTCAATTATGTATAATTATAACAAATTACAGGTCCTGCTTTATGATGACCCTGACGGCTTTCTATGTCTTTTTTTATTTTAGTGAGCGCATATCCAGAGAGAGGGAGCTGATTGAAGAACGGTGTGAAAGGAGGCTGGAGATTCTCAAAAAGCTGGTGGGAAAAACAGCTGTGGAGGACGACAGCATGGTTTCAACTTCGACAAAATCAGAGGTTCAGATATGCTTTCAGAATAGAAATTCAAGGTTATATAAACACTTTCTTTGAAAGATTATCATATTTCATTAGGGAATAGTAATTGTAGATGTGAATTTGTGTGTAGGAGGAGAACCATGTCTCTCTAGACAGCATGTATGACTCTATGAGCAGTGACCTAGCTGAAATCAGACAGGATGCCCTGGCTGCCCATTCTTGCTTGGTGACCTCTGACCCTACAGTCTCTACAAAGCTGCATGACCTTGAGAAAAAGGTCACAGAACTTTCACAACTGCTCATTGAAACTCAGAATCAGCTGTCACTCAAATCAAAGGGTAAGAACCTTGCCGATGAGCTGACTTACACCAAATCTCCACCTGCACACTTCCACAGAAATATGCTCTGCATCCCCTACCCCTTGTTTGTTTAATATTTTTCTCAATTTAGGGTTCCCACTCTTCTGGAGAACCTGCAAATTTCAGGGAATTTCAAAGTGTTTTTTTTTTATCTTTCCAAAAGGTGTTTAAGTCTTAAAAGGTTTACCTTTTTATAATATTCTTGAGCAAGAAAATGCTTTTTGTGAGATCAAAAAAAAAATTCGTGGAAAAGTCATGGAAATTCATTCGCCAGAAAGTGTGGGAACCCTGTATTTTGAGACGCAGGTGTTTTTATTGTAAAATTGTAAGCACAATACACTTGCTTAGTGTTCATACTCCCAACTTACCAGGCTTCCTAATCCCTTGATCTAACATCAAGCCTCATACTCCCTCACAGAGATTGAAACCCAGAGCCGAATATCAGATGAACTAGAGGAGGTTAAGAAGGTAAACTTGTAAAATGCCTCTGCCATTTTAACACGCACATATATGAAGTCCAGACTGTGAGGTTATGCTATGCATCACTGTGGGTTTTGCATAAGCAAGCACCCCCCTTTTTTTTATTCAAAAATTGCAAAAATCTTGTAGTGACGTTTTGACTTGTTCTGCTGCTTTTAGGCTCTGGAGAGCCAGAGGCAAAGGGAATCAGATCTGAGTGAAATGTGCAGACAGAAGGATGAGATGGTTTCTAAACTCAAGACAGCTCTTGACCAACATGTAGAAAACAGTAATGTGAGTGTGAACGTCAACATCTAGACATTGTTTTCCAATGTTCAAAATAATTGGATGTACACTACCTTTCAAAAGTTTATGGTTGGTAGGATTTTGAAATGATTTTGAATGTAGTCTCTTATGCTCTTCAATCCTGCATTTATTTGATTTAAAAAAAAACAAAACACCAAAAACATTTATTTTATATTTTAAAATGTTATTCCTGTAAAAGCAAAAGTGATTATTCTAAAGTTCAGTGTCACACCATCCTTCAGCAATCATTCTAATATGTTGATTTGGTGCTAAAGAAACTTTTCTTATCAATGTTGAAAACAGTTATGCTTAATAACAGTTGAGGTTTTATTTTTCTCCCCCCAGGATTCTTTGAATATAAAGTTCAAAAGAAAACATCCTTTATGTGAAATGGTAATCTTTTATAATGTTATAAATGCATAAACATGAATAAATTAAAAGATATTTATATAAAAATATAAACTTTTGAACATTAGTGTACCTTTTGGTAATGGTTAAAGGGATACATTATAAAAAAAAAAACAATTGTCATTATTAACTCATCCTTTCATGGTGTTGATCCTATTTGAAGCTTGACAGCCCATTATCACAATAAACCGTTGTGTAATTTTGGGTTTACGGTTACTTAAATACAGTTCCTACCTGATTCAAATTTTAGCTTTTTTTTTTTCTCTTTTGTTCCCGGATAACTAGAAAAAGGAGATCATCCAACTTAATCACAATTGTACCTGCTCAGAGCAGCAGCCCAGTGCCCGGACTGAAACCAGAAAGCGGCGTCAGGAAGGAGAGGGGCTTGATGGACAGCCCCCACTCAAGAAAGGTATAGACTCCATCCCAGTTGCTGAAAAGTGCCTCCCAGCTTTTGTCACAACCAGAGGGACCAGCCGAGAGAATCGGGTCAAAGGAAGACGATACCTCCACGCTCGAAAAAGGCGCTCAAGCATAAAGAAATAATCATTAAAAATGTGTTTTTGTTTTTTTCACAAAAGTTACCGCAGTGCTTGAAAAGCCCTGTATCTTAAAGTACTTTTGTGAAGTGTATTGTTTTTATGAGCTCTATTGAATAAAGAAGCATATTCATTTTATGCACGGAGAGCATTGCACAAAATTAAAAGCACTTTAAGTCATATAAATCGGACAAAGGTTGCTTCACTTTAATATTAAAAAGAATGAGAGTAAAAGAAATGTAATCATAGTATCAAAGCATCCCAGGCACATGAGGTGTTTCCTGTGCATAAAGGCTCTCAAGACTGAGTGATTTCACATTTAAATGCCCCTCTTTCATCTTCAGAATGAAATCAAATCGAAAATGTATTTTACACCCCATGTGTAAGTAAAGACTAGTGCAATTTAGATCAAATAATTACTGGCTTTGTTGCTAGGCCAGTAGCAATACATTGTAAATACCTGGTTGTACCAAACTTTTGAATGTTGAAGAAAATTTTAAAGTAAAACAATGTATATTAAGCACACAGATAAATATTGTGTTATTGCATGTCACAGAAAGCTCAAAGCTCTCCATTCTTCATAGGTCCCCTGGAAGACTTTAAAGTCCAAGATGATGTTGCAGATAATGAGTGTCAAGACTCCGCCCTTCTTGAGGTCAAAGGTCAGCTGGAGTGTTGCCTTGCTGAATCCAAACTAAAAGACAAGCAGATCACAGAACTGGAGCAGGAATGCCACACATTAGAAGTTTGCATACAAGATCTGAAGTCTAAACTGGAAGAGAGAAATTCACAGGAACATATTCCATCAGAGAGGCTTTTTCAGACGTCCTTGGAAACCAAACATATGACAATGGATTGCAGGAATTTGAAGGTAGAAGTTGTGTCCAGTTCTATCAACACTACAGAACTTTTGAAAGAACTTTCTGCTGCCAAATCACAAATGGATCAGCAAGATCAGGAACTGGGAGAAAAGAACAAACACATTTTGACACTTGAACAAGAAATTACACTACTAAAAAAGGAGGCTGAAACATTTGCTTTGCTTCAGTCTAAAAATACATCAGCTGACTTTGATGACCTCAAAAAAGTCAACTCTGACCTGCAGACTGAGGTTGCCACCCTTCGTGGTGTCAAAGCTGAACTAGAGAAGAAGATTGGATGCCTTCAGAAAAAGGTGGAGGAAGATACGGCACCTCTGTCTAAAGATGGGGAGGTGGGGCTGACAAACCCTAACACTCTTGGATCTAAAAGCAGAGTGATCGATAGTGAAATAAACATGCTGTCTGAAAAGGAGGCTGAACTTTCACAGAGGGAGAAAGCCCTAATGTCAAAGGAGGCTCAGCTTTCAGTCCTGCAGAAGAGACTGAAGGAAGCACAGGATCGTCTGGAGGAGGAGGAGGCACAAGCGGTGCAAGAGGCCCGCAGGAGGGAGGTGGAGAGAAGGAGAGAGCTGCTGGCTGTGGCAGAGGAGGCCATCGCTCAGAAAGATACAGATCTACAGAAGAAACAAGAAGAGATTAACCGGTCAGTTATTTTCCTCTTGAATTATAATACAGTTTCCTAAAACACAAGTCACATTAAACCACCATACAAAATCAGTCCAATTATAATACTGTTGCCAAACATACTATTATTTTTGTATTTTACATATTTGTTTTTGTTTATATCCAATACCATTCAAAAGTTAAAAGAAATGAATACTTTCCATTTAGCAGTGGTGCATTATATTGGTCAAAAAAGACAGTAAAGACTTTTACATTGTTACAAAAACAATTATATTTCGAATGAATGCTGTTTTTAAACTTTATTCATCAAAAAATCCTGACAAAAAAGGTTCATGGTTTCCACAAAAATGTTTAGTTGTGGAACTATTTTCCACATTAATAATTGTTAATGTCACATTAAAATATTACAATTATTTCCGGACAGTCAGTTGATACTGAAGACTGGAATAATGACTGCTAATCAGCTTTGCCATCATAGAAATAAAAAATAAAAAATTCATACATGAAAATACAAGAAAACAGTTGTTTTAATGTTTCACCGTTTTACTGTTGTCTTTTTAAAAATATGGGGGTATGCATAAGATACTTACAAAACTTTAGAATGTAGTGTAATTTTAAAAATATGTAAAATACCAAAAAATATATGTATTATTATATTAGGACTAGTGGTGCAGAAATTAGACAATTAGACAATTTTCACCTGTAAATGTTCCTTTGAATTTAAATAAATTGCTTTTAATGTTGATTTCTTGCAAACCAGAGATTTATGTCTTCGAACTGACTTTAGTGGAATTGGGCATTAGCAGCTTTTGTATAAGCAGTGATGATTTGTTATTAATACTAAGTGTTTAGGAAAGCATTAAACATTTTTTTATGCTCAAGATTGCAGCTTTTGTTAGATTATCATCCCATTCCCACACACAAGAAGAGATTGATTTATTTTGGTAGTTTGAAAGCATTTGTGTTGTTTTTTGTTCTTTCTGAATAAGCATGAGAAGACAAGTATATTTGTGACAGGGATTATGTGTAGACTGATCTGTCAGATGAGTGGTCTATTTTTTTAGTTTTTAACTAGTTTATCAACATAGATTTTTCATTAGCTAATGCCAATATCTAGAGAGGGTTATATAAAAAACTGAGCAATCAATCAGACTACAATTTATCAATACTTTTGTCTCTGACGTTTTTTAAATTGTTATTCATTTTGTGTGTATGTGGTTTTTCATCTCTCAGGTTAAAAGAGGAGATTAAAACTATCGAGTGTAAGATGAGCAGTCTGGCTGTTGATCTACGCCGAAGGGAAGATGATTCATCTGATCTTCGGGAAAAACTTGGTGACTCGAAGAAACAGATTCAACAGGTCCAGAAGGAGGTGTGAACTCACTCTTCACTCATTCAAACGTCTGTACTGTCCGGGCTGAAACGTGTCAGAGCAGAGCTTGAATTTAATCTAACTGTTGCTGACGTGTGCTAAATCTCCTTATGTTGTTTGATATAGATCTCCTCCATGCGAGATTCTGAGAAATCTCTGCGACTGAAGCTCAGTGATCTAGAAAAGATTAAAGCCCAGCTCCAGAATGAGATGGCCAACAGGGACCGCATCATCAACCAGCTGAAAGCTGTAAGCACCATCCAGCAATGAATACCTAAAACCACATTTAGTGAAATTGCCATGTGACTTGAATATTTTCTCTTTCTTCTAAAACAGGAACGATCCTCTGAATCTAAGTCAAATGAGAATCTGCTGCTCTATCAGAAAGCATGTAAAGGTATCTTTTTTTCCATGTATCTGCGTGATTGTGACCAATATGGATGTCATTTATTTTTAATATTTTAGTTTATATTTTAATATTTACTAGGGCTGTGCAAAAATTAATTGCGATTAATCGCATCCAAAATAAAAGTCTGTGTTTACATAATATATTTGTGTGTGCTGTATATAATTATTTTGTATAAATAAATACCTATGCATGCATGTATATATTTAAGAATTATTTGCGCTTAAATTCTGTATATATATATATATATATAAATACAAAATCTATATTATATAAATATAAATATTTTATATATGAATAACACATTTTCTTAAATATATACATGCATGTGTGTGTATTTAAATATACAAAATAATTATATACAGCACACACAAATATATTATGTAAACACAGACTTTTATTTTGGATGCGATTAATCGCAATTAATTTTTGCACAGCCCTAATATTTACGTATTTGAGGCGTGGTATACGAATGCCCAGAGCTATTTATTGGGTGCTGAGAATGTCTATCAAATACACCTGTACATAGCTCATAGCCAATCGTTTCAATCATAGACATAATAAATACATAGACTATTGGCCACTTTGGAACGTTGCTGCGATACGTCAACACGTCCACCATTTTGCAGAGGTCAAGACTGCACTGTAATCAAATGCAAGTAAACGGTGAGCTGCGGTTTTTCTGGAAAAAAAAACAAAACATGTATCAACTGATTTCAGTGGTTTGTACGTGGTGTACAAAAAAGTTCCTGCATCGAAAGGTAAAACGCGTCTGCTGCCATGTTGGATCCATAGGTATAAACAAACTGCTTGGGTGTGTCGCATAGACTTTGTCATGGTCTTGCTGCTCCCGCCCTGTTCTGTGATTAGTTCCCTAGATGAGGTGAAAATTTGATCCATGGTATCCAGACTACCTAGCAGCATGAATAAAATCGCACTGTGACAAGGTAGTATAGGGAAACCCAGGCTATAGCAACATGGTAATGAATGTTCATTTTTGTTGATGGTTTCTGCAGATTTGCAAGAGCGTGAGCATGTTATTGAAAACATGCGTTTGGCTCTGACAGAACAGGAGGAAACACAGACACAGCTGGACCTGGAGCTGGACAACAGAGATACTCAGATAAATGAGCTCGCTCAGGGTATATGATTATATGGACAATATTGCATTCATGATACCTTAATGTATTGTAATATACAATTAAAAAAGGATTACCGGTATACACAGAAAAAAAGTTTAATGTGTATGTGACATGTATTTCAGTGTTGCTTATTCTAATGTAATAATTGTTAAAATAAAAAAAGAAAAAACAAAAAATGCACATTTTATGTAACAATTTAAATCAAGTTTAATAGAAAAATGTAACAATTTCAACAATTTCTACACTATCTTACTATTTGGTGTGTCCTCATTTTGCTTTATTGACAGCAACATTTGATTATGTTCTCCAGCATGATTTGAGATGATTCAAAGAACATCTGACCGTCTGATCTGTACGAGAGAGTTCACTTGACCAGTGTCAAAAATGCATTTATTTGATTGTGACCTAGAATAATTGCAAAATCTTAAATATTTATTATACTTGTCCATCATACAAAAAATTGTTTAAATTTATAACCTTTTATAATTAATGAATTCATGGTAGATATTGAATCCCTGTTTTTCAGTATGGTCTCAGATTGTTGACATCACTATATTTTATTTTCAGAATTGGTGAGGTTAAGAGCAACGCTCTCTGAACAGAGGAACAGGAGAGATTCTAGACCGATCTCTGATGACATTTTACAGGCCAAACAAGAGACCACTCAGGCCCAGGAGAGCTTGCAGGTCTGGTGTCCAAATATTTTCTCAATTTCTCTTCAACTGTATAGAGAAAATGTGTGCTCATGGTCTTATAGTGTGGTTGTTCGGTGTTCATGTTTGTAGCGAACCAATGAGAAGCACCAGGCAGAGCGTAGGAAGTGGATGGAGGAGAAGTTGGCTCTGATTGGTCAGGCTAAAGAGGCTGAGGAAAGGAGGAACCAGGACATGAGACGATTTGCTGATGATCGAGAGCGGCATGCCCGCCAACAGGCTGAAATGGTAAAGAGCATTGTGTGTTTCCAGAGACAATATCAGACAGTTATTTTAGTTAAAAAGAGAATGACTCTTTTGATATATGTCAATTAGGAGTCTCTGTCTGCATGTCTTGCTGCTCGTGATGAAGAGATGGAAAGCTGGAGAAAAGAGAGAGACACACTTGTCTCAGCTCTGGAGGTTCAGCTGAAGAAACTCATCATGTCCAATGCAGAGAAAGACCAACAGATCAAGATCCTACAGTCCAGTAACACCCCCCAAACACCAGAGGTCAGTGTTGGTTACAGATCTCACCATCTACAGAAACTCTTTTAACCCTCTGGGGACTAAGCCCTTTTTTGTCCGTTTTCTCTGTTTTTTACATTTGGGCTTTTTGTAATACTATTTGTAAAACTATTTGTAATGGAGATGGAACACTATGTGTTTGGTGTCTATGGATTCAGAATACCCTAAGCTAACATAAGCATGCATGTGAAGTGTTTATAAAGGAAGTATGAGTGAAAAATGTACAATATACTAGAGAATTTCAAAAACGGCGATTCGATTTTTGTCATTTATTTCTGAAAATCACACAACAATAGTGAACAGATTTTGAACAAAAAATATATTTGTCAAAGCCTTTGCTTGACAGACATGTGTAATTGTTAAATACAATGTGTAAAGAACAATGAAAAATCTGACTTTATTTACAAATACTCCCAGGCGTTTTTCTTAGGAATGTTTAGAATTTTCTAAGCAATGCTTTCTCCTCGTCACTTTCCAGTAATTGTTCCAGAGCTTGTTCCACCATAAATCGTTTACTGCTTGCCATCATAAAAGAGCTAAAATAATAAATAAAGCTATAATTCTTCTGTCTCTCTCTTATGTAAATCTCAGTGCGCTCTCGCTCCATAAAGCCTTGTTTATACTTGACGCGTTTGGTTTCAAGTGTAAAATTACGCGTCAGAGTAAGTGTGCCGATTGTCTGAAGCCCATATAGAATCACGCCAATCCATTGGCTGATGGCGCGGGTGCCGTCTTGACACTCTTACGTTGTCATATAATATTAGCGCATTATCTGATTTCACTGTGCGAAATGATTTCCAGGCGGTAGCGTAGAGTGGAGCTCAACTCTAGTCTACATTGATGGGCGGAGTAGTGGGAGTGGCCTGCTGCGCATTGCAATGCACTATGATGATTGTTGTCTACAATCCACAAGCACTAAAAAGTCATTTTTTGCCTTTAATCGGCCACAAAGGACCCAAATTAGAAATTTATGAAACTATTCTACTACATATACTGTATGACCCACTTTCAATACACATTCATGTCTCCACCGGTGGAATTACCCTTCAACACTATGTCTCTGTCTTAGAAGGTCACTGAGGACAGCAGGACCGAGGCACTGCGGGCAGAGCTGACTGCAAAGGATGCAGAGATTCAGAAACTGAAGGAACTCCTCAGTGTCAGTGTCATGGATGCCAGACTTCGCAGAAACTCATCAACCCAGGTCAGAAACACGTGTCTTATTACTGCCAATTCACCTGCTGCCTTTGATTCGTTAGAGTCTGCATATGACAAATAGAATCACTGTCAAAAGACTGAAGTGGCTTTACTTTGAACGTTGGCATTTGTACAAAACACACTGCTAAGTAAATTGTGGCCTTATCCTTCAAACAATCATTTTTTTTATTTTATATAATTCAGCTCAGATGAGCTGAGTTGACTGTTTGCTTGGAAGAACTGAGAGTTATATGAATTGAGCTTTTATATGGATTGTATTGTAAAATTATAGTATTATATATTACTTTTTAGTTCTTGGTACAACAATGCCTTCCAAAGAAATCTATCCCCAAACTGTTTTGAACACATGTAATCATTCAGGGAGCTCTCAATCTATATTTGTTCCAACCTGTGGTGATGTGTGTTGTTTATTAGACATAGCTGTGTAATTAAATTGAGTTGGTAATTATATAGAGAGTGAGGAATGTTTATTGACTATCTCTTAATTGTTATGCTAGACGATGGAAGAAGAATTGTCTGATGTGAAGCCTCTGAACACCAGTACACTCAAAAACACGAGCAGAAACAGAGGATCTGTCACCAGTCAGGTAAAACAGAAATACACCCTACCTAGTAAACATTTCATTGTGAATATGGTGAATCACAATTACTTTCTTTACCATTTTTTATTTAATACACACCGTCGTCCAGCCTCTCAGGAACCTAGTGTCTGAGTTGCATGTACCCCATGCACACCGTTTGACCATTTTAAACTTAAAATGACAAGAAACAACGAATGAAAACTGACTAACTGCAATACATTTCAACGGACGTGGAAGCAGAGAATGTCCGAGTGTATTAGGTTAGGTGCGCACTGTGATTGGCTCATCGCATTTTAGGGCGTGGCTTAGCCATAGGTCAATTCCGTGAATTACTGCAATTGCAGGTTTCGAACAGAAATTGCGACAATGAGGAAAAACTGCATCTTTAAATAAAGAAAGTTTACTTTTTGTGGCACCTCTCATGTTACATTGATTTTTTTTTGTGTTTGATAAATAAATAAATGCACAGATTTCTCAGTCCATTGATTATCAAGTTGATGATATTAATCTTCAAATCACAGAGTTCGTCCGCTAGCTGTCCGCTGGTGCTAGATTCGTCAGAGATCTCCACGGAAACAGGCAGGCGTTCCAGGTTTCCACGGCCTGAGCTCGAAATTTCCTTCAGCCCTCTGCAGCCGGATCGTTTCGCTCTTAAGCGGCAGGGAGAGGACTCTACCGTTACTGTTAAAATCTCCCGACCCACTCGCAAGAGAAAGAGCGGGGAGATTGAGAAGGTGAGAAATTCATTCGGTTAAGGGATAGTTCACCCAAAAATCAAAATGATGTCATTAATGAATCACCCTCATGTCGTTCCAAGCTCGTAAGACCTCCATTTATCTTCGGAACACAGTTTAAGATATTTTTATTTAATCAGAGAGCTTTCTAAGTGTTGAGAGGAAGACCTGCATTTCTTTGCCCAGCAATTTTTTTTTTAACCCGAATACACGGACGCACTAGATATATACGTCAGCAGCATCTTACCTCATCAGCATCACTGAACGCAGATTGACAACAGAACCGGAAGACAATACAATGCTGAATAAATTCATAGTTTTTGTTATTTTTGGACCAAAATGTATTTTCGATGCTTCAAAAATTTCGAACTAACCCACTGGTGTCACATGGACTACTTTGATGATGTCATTTCTGGACAAGAACAATATACCGTACATACAGTTACAATGGAGGGACAGAAAGCTCTCGGACTAAATCTAAAATATCTTAAACTGTGTTCCCGAAGATGAACAATTACGTGCTCGAAACGACATGAGGGTGAGTCATTAATGACATAATTTTCATTTTTGGGTGAACGAACCCTTTAATTGTTTTTAAATGATAATTTTTTAAATATAAAATCCATTGACCATCTGCTGCTGACCTAATCTGCACAGCCAGTCCTCTTAAATTGTCCTAATTAGTCATTAACAAGGCTCCAATTTTGCTCACATACACTTAACATCAGTCTTCATTGTGCATGGGCTATAAAATGGCAGTCCTTTTAAGCATAAAGTTCTGAGTGTAAGAATATATTTATGTGTGTGGTTAAGTGTATATTGGCCTAACCTCACACACTCTCACCAGGCAACTTAAACACTTGCGGATACTTGCTCTGGGAGCAATAATTATAGAATACACAGTAGGTTTATAGGTTTTTAAAAACCTGTTTATGGAAATTTAATTGAATGGTTCAGACAGAGGGATTACCAATGCACAAATACAAATCGACCATAAATGCTGACTAAACAGTGTGTTAACATTTTATTATAACACGCTTAAAAAGGGTAGCCATGCACAGAGTCTGTAGTCTAGGTAGGTTGTGCTAGTCTCTCAAAACACTGCAGTGAAGATGTAATTTGCACTCTGTAAGAATGCTCTTCACTCAAAATAAGTGACCTCTAATTGTCAAAGAATCTTGTGCTCTCACGCCGGTTGCCCCTGGCAACAGAGTCAAGCTTCCACATGCTCTGTACCTGCTAATTGTTGGAGAGTTTTGTAATTGAATGGCACAAACCATTTTTCTGGTGCTTCTATTCACTTGAAGCATAAAGGAGGCAGGAGCAGCATGGTGAAAAAGAAAGCTTTCTTTGAACCCAGTCCTCAGGTACCCTTTTCCTGTTTAATCCTACTTCAACAGCTGTTCCACCTTCAGGATTCCTAATGGTCTGGCACCAGTCATTCACAGCCAAGACTCTAAGGGTCATGTTAATTTAATCAGGTTAAGCCATAGGGATGGAGATTAGAAGTAAAAATACATTAATTATGCGATTACTTTTTTGCCCTTTGAAATATTCCTCCACACCAAATCAATTTGAGCAAGTCTGTGTGTGGTGTAAGTGTCCCATTAAATAAGATACTGGGAGAGCTTGTTCTTAAAATCAACATGAAATCCAAATTTGGATCTTTACTTGCTTAAAAGATGCAAAAATGAAAATTCTGTTTTTTGCTTGTCCTCATGTCGTTTCAAACCCATAGCTGTTATATTTTCAGTGGAATACAAAAGGAGAATTCTAGGGAAATTGAATGCAGCTGCTCTTCATACAAATAAAAAGAGAAATAAGGATAAAACTGAATTCCATGTCTTTTGTGGTGCAGGTTGGATGTCAGTGACAAATGTCATTGGTTCTTGCACCTTTTTTTTTACCAGTAGTCTAATGTCTAATCTGCTTTTACATACATCAAATATTTTTTTTAGTTCCACAGAAAGAAAATTACATGATATGTATTGACAGAATTTTCGTTTTCCAGTAATCTATTCCTTTAATATACATTTATTGGTTTGTTCACAATTCACTTTTTAAAAGCAGAACATGGCCTCGTCCAGATGTCTTTGAACAGAGTACCTACAAAGTGTAAATATACAGAAATTTAAACATTTGCTTCCACCAGTAATCTTATCAACCCTTTAAAGTTCCTAATAAAGTTTTAATGAACATCTTATCCGGGCCATTTGGTTAGAGTTCCCGATGGTGGAAAAAACAGCTTATCATCATTATCCATGAGTCATTATCCCTGAAGCTTTTGATGCATCAAAGAAATAATAACATTTCTATCAAGTTGGATGTGTAAATGGAGTGGGTTTTGCTACTGTATGTGGTTTTACAGATCCATTATGGTAATATTGCCTGTAAGAGCTGTCCATGCCCTCAGTGGCAGGGCAATTTTTTTTTTCTTCATGATGCATAAATGACAAACGCTTTGGGAGATAATATTCTGTACAACTTAAAGTAGACCTATAATTCATAATTCACCCATAAAATCCTTAAGGTCATGATTTTGGTCATCACAGCCAAACATTCAGATTCAACTAAGGCCTGTTTCACTGTCTGCGGTGTGTGTACTGCGCTTATTAATTTAGACAGCACATTTTATGCAAACCCTTTTATTATGTATATCTGACTAGATGTAAACAACACTGCTCCAGAAGCACTTCCTGTTTCAGTTTGTAACTGTTTTCTTTATTTCACATGTAAAGAAAACATCTTAAAGATGTTTGTTTAACTTTTTGATTCAGTTTTAAATGTTCTGTTGGTTGTATTTTATCCCAGCTTTTATGTAGTGTTAAAAAACTGAAACAGATAGTGCTTCTGGACCAGTGTTGTTTACATCTTGTGAAATGGTCTATTTAAGCTGTTTATTGCTACACTTTGGGGTTTGGGTCCAGTCAGTGTAGATTTATGACCATTTTGTATGTAAACTACTGTTCAAAAGTTTGTGAGATTTTATTTATTGTTTTTGAAAGTAGTCTTTATGCTCAAGGCTGCAATTATTTGATTAAAATACCGTAAAAAAACAGTAAAATTGTGAAAATTGTATTTCAATTTCAAACCGTTTTATATTTTAATATGTATTAAAATTTCTGCTTGAAAGACTGAATTTTTTCATTCAGAATATGCAAATATGCTGCTCCTCTAGAAACTTTTCTTATTATGATTTTTCTTATGCTCACTTTTTTTTTGTGGAAACAGTGATGCATTTTGTCAGGATTCTTTAAATAGAAAGTTCAAAAGAACAGCATTTATTTGAAATAGAACTAGTGACTTTGGATCAATTAATGCAGGCTTGCTGAATAAAAGTATCAATTTCTTTACATTCTTTACATTCCATCCTTATATAAGATTTCTCACTTCCAATAGCCATTTTACAAAATAATAGGCTTTATTATATATAAATATTTAATCTTGTAAGTCTGAAATCACGTTTTCTGTACAGAGCCATTGATCTGTTACACAGCAGAAACACTGTTAGTGTGAAAGCACAAAACAAGCCTGCTGTTTTGCAGGCTGAAGTTGTTGTTTTGCTCACGCTTCTCAGACACAGAATGCGTGAAACAGGCCTAAAGAAAACAAAGCATTTATATTAGCCTTCCTAACTCTAAAATGTTTGATTACTCTTGCACTTTGCTATTCCTCAGGATGGGATGGAAAGGGAGAACATTAGGAATACAAGGAGTAGAATGATTCCTCACCTAACACCTCATCAGGAAGAGGTGAGTTACAACGCATTCTAACATTGAAGTAAATGTATTAAGAAATGTATTCTTTGATAATGACCTGTGAAATCGCTCTTACAGTATGATACTGAGATTCTTGTCTAGAACAATGTGAATTAATAAAGTAGAAATCGGGTAGAAGGTGTAAGTATGGACCGAGGAGTTAAGAGAGGAAAAAGTGCCTCAGTCTGTCCATCAAACACTCAAAGACTTTGATTGGGAGAATCATGATTTCTGATCCCATCGGTATTGAGTGATTTCAGTGACTGATGAACTCCCTCCTCATAGCCCTCAACTTCCCAGGAGTCAAACCAAAGAGGGAACAAAGACAAAACGATCCAGAAGATTGGAGATTTTCTTCAGGGATCTCCCACCTTTCTTGGGAGTAAAGGTCAGGATTAGACTTATTCCATCATTTATTACCCTTTTGTTCATTTCTAGACTTTGTCATACTCAGGCATCCTATTTGTTTTTCTGACAATCACAATCTTTCTCTGTCTCAGCAAAGAGGATCATGGGGTTGATGAGTGGAAAGTCCCCTGATAGTGGGAAGATCTCTCTAAAGCTTAAATCCAAACATGACAAACGAAAACACGACAGACCAGATATCTCCTCCCCAATGGACATACCGGCACATCAGGTACTGTAATGGTTAAAAAAAAACTTTGGGGTCTGTAAGATTTTTTTCATCATTAAGGTTGCACTTATTTGATTATTTGCAGTTGTGCTGCCTAATATTTTTTTTGTAGACTGATCTATTATTTTTCTTCAATAAATGAAGGTTCAAAAGAACAGCATTTTTTTTTAAACGTCTTTAATGTCACTTTTAATCCATTTCATTTCCTTGCTGATTAAACTTGCTGAAAAAAATGATAGTGTACTTTATATAAATATCTATGTTTTAAAATGTAAAATTACATGAATTTAAATTTAAAATTACGTTCTCAGTAACAGCTGATATTTTACCCTTCTTATAGATCATTGGCCGGAATCCAGGTGTGAAAGAGAGTGAAAACCTTATCAAGAAACGTCTTCGTACGAGGACTGCTAAATGAGCTGGAGGGAAATGTTTTGTTTTGTTCTTTTTCTTCTTAATTTTTTTTTTTTTTTGTATTTTAAATCAAACTATTTTTTTTCTTTCAATCTGATGCACTGTTCATAAATATCTATTGTTTCTTAGTCAAATTCTCTTTTTAGTTTTTATCAAATATGGCACATAATATATATTATCCTGTAAAGTAGCTAACACTTGTGCCACTTTTAATGGCAAGTTGAAATGATGGACAGTTATCATAAGTTCATGTATGGTGGAATGAACAAATTTTTTGCTGCTAGAGTTAGAATGAAAGTTCAGAAATCACTACTGCACATTTCTGACACAAGGATTCGCTGTACGTTTAAACCACGGTTATTCGTTTACATTGTGCTTATGTTCCCTGCAAATGAATGCAAAATGGTTGTTTTCCTCTAACCACTTTCTGTTTTTCAAGAGTTAAAAATGCACACATGCAAAATATAGCACAATGTTATTGTGGGGGGTTTTCCCCACTTGTCAACATTCTTGTTTTTTTCCTGTGTTAATTAGCCTGTCACAAACCTTTTATATGTGCCACTCACTTGATAAAGACTCCATTACCATGTCAGTAATACCGTGTGCCAGATGCCTAATGAAACCCAAAAGACTATTTATTTGAATTACTGAACAAATGTTTATGTAACAGATGGGTAATAGAATTTCCTGATCACAGTATGCGGCCCGGTGCTCTTATCTAAAATGGCATGAAAGGAGTGCAGGGAAAGGGTGAGGAACTGGGAACAGGTCTATCTCTCTTTTTTTTTTTTTGGCACTGAATGACAGGATGTGAACGGGGTGGTTGCTTGCAATGATGAATCATGTTGTGAAAGTGTGGGAGCATTGGGTGAAGACAAAATGGAGGAGTGAAAAGTGACTGTGTGGAGGAATAAAGAGATAAAGAAAAAACATACAGAATGAGTCACGTTCAGCCCACCTGTGCTTGTGTGGGTCTTTGTTGCACAATTTTCTTCTTATGTTATAATTCTGTGACCTTTGGGAATGAGGTCTGGAATTCATAGTCATAGTCTGTTTTGTTTGCATGCCCATTTCCTTCCTGTGTACTTCCTCACATCACAAGTGTATGATGTATACACATTTTTATGTGATTCCTAGTGTAGTGTCAAGAGACAGATGGTAATCAGTTTTGATTGTACGTGTAAAATTGTTTTTGGGGGGGGTGGGGGTTGGTTCAAGGGGAGTCATTGTCCCCGTCATTTGATTGCATCATTTAATTGACACAAAGTGTAGTCTTTTTTTTTTCCCCATTTCCTTTTGGTCTCGATCCTCTGCATGCAGAAAACAGTAGGGGGGCTTGAAAGCATCAGCCTGATCCAAGCCTGGTAAACAATGCAGTAATAATCATCTGCTGCACCTATAATTTAGAGCAGAAAATTACCACATGATTTGAAATGATAAACCGTCTGAGTGCAGCTCTGGAGATCCTGGATGGGTCTAATTGCTTGGCTTCATCGGGAGATGCGCTTTAAATAGGTTTGAGACAACGTAGTGAGACCGTCTAGAGGAATGCTTGTGAAGATTTCCACTTAAGTGTATCTGGTTGCTTTAATCCAAGCAGTTCGTTCAGATGGTAAAATTAACGCGCAAGCCATGCGCCATTTTGCCCTAGATGTGCCTAGGTGAAGGTGAGGATCTTTAGCTGCTATGTTTCAATAAATAGTTATATCCTGCCATATGTTAGTTGTACACAAAATAAAATTTTAAGAGTTTTTAGAAATTGAATGACCAGCATTGAATCAGGGAAACTGAGTTAGGTAGGTCGTTCATGAGAAGCAGTGTGGTGATATTGAAAAGAAAGAGGAACCTCGAAGTGCATTTTTTCCACTTCATTTTCTTTCGTTATTTTCTTTTAAAAGATGCATTTCTTATAACCACCATTAAAACAGATGGCGCTACAGTAGAAGACCAAAGCTCATGTTTGTAGACAAAATAAAAGCTCAATGAGGTTAGAACTTCTTAACTTTACCCTTTGTCTTGTTCAAATTGTTTTCACCATGGAATAAAAAGGTAGACTAATAAATTCCTACTTTAGATCTCACAGTTAGTCAGAAAAGTGGGTAAAAAAGTAGCTAATTGCCACTTTTTAATTTCACTTACCTTTTGTATTTTTTTTCCCGCAGCGATCAAGCTATGTGCGAGACGCGGCCCAACAGGACATCCACCTTGTTCATTTACATGATGGAAAAAATTATTAATTCTATGTGAACCGGTTCTCATACCTACTGCTGTCTGCTACATTTGCTGTGGTGAAATTGAAGGCTAGGTAAGTGGAACTCTATTTTAGCCCATAAAAGCATAGCCGTAGTGAGCATTTTTCAGCTATATGCACAGCAGCTATTGAAGTAGGCTACTTAAGTTGCTTTTATTTTATTTTCCACACATAAGAAACACATTTATGTTATTGTTGTTATCGTTTAGCACTTGCTGTTAAACACTTTCACACCTCTGGCACCCTACACTTGCAAGTGATTCTGGACTATTTACTGTCTACAAACAGGCTAATGGATTTGTCATGTATGTGAGTTGGGTTTAATGACCACTAATCAATGTAGGCTCACATGCTGAGTGCTTTTATCACATCACACCAGCAGCCCGCAAATGAATCTATTTTAGAATTGCATAATGTTCCTAATTGCAATGGTGTTAATAGCCTTTCTTTCTGGTTTAAATAACTTTTTCTAAAACAAATGTCCAACTCGAATGTATGGACTAGCAAGGGTCATCACTGTGCAAACTAAGATAACCCAAAGAGGCAACAAAATCTGTCACTTTCATTCTCCCCCTCACTTTATTCTGATGTTGTTTGACAAGTATACCTCCTCCACCTTTTTCTTCTTTCTTTTCTTATGGATCATACCTTTCCTCTACCTCAGTGAGATTTGGTGTCTGACAAGTGTAAGTGTCAAAAATCACTGCGCTCCACAACCTCCACTATGGTTTCTCCAAAGCTAGGGAATTCTAAATGAATTGAGGGTTTAGGGAATGAAGCAGTTGGTATAGTTGAATTCTCTCACTGTCTGAAGTGGTGCCCCAAAGGAAAAACGGGTCATCGGTGTGCTGTTTTCCTGATACGGTCCACTTCCTTTCACCATTTCTCATCCCTTCTTTGAGGACAGTCTATAACTTAAATTTTTGAAAATGTCATCAAACCATTGATTCAGTGCATCTCTGAATACAGCTTCATGGTTTACTGCACTCTCAATGGATCTTCGAAGACCATCAATGAGTTAATTGCATCACTTAATTCTTGGACTGATTGAGAAAGGTTTTGATATTACTAAATCTGTTCTTCCAATCTCATTTCTTACTGGGTTTACAACCGGTTTAGCCTCATCATCAGCTTGGCTGTCAATATACATTTTACCTAGTGAGCTTATCTCTACTATGGATCCTGGATTTGTATATATTTCCAGGTAGAGCAGGATTGAAAGAAAGTTACTCTGCTACTCCCACATCGTCTACTGGAATTATCTCTGCCTCTGAATTAGAATTAACAGTTTCCATTGTAAGTATAAAACACTGTTTGACCAAAATGATAAGTAACAAAGCAGATAACAGAGTTAATTCAATTCATTCCAACACCACCATTCACATTTTCTCGTACGGACCACCAACTTAAATCAAAGAAGCTGTGTATGGTCAGAGAAGGACAAAACGATACCTTCAAACTTATTTTACCGCCTCTGCTACAAAATAAATAAATAAATAAATAATAATAATCAGCTGTTGTACTTAATTAAATTCTGGAAAAAATAAATAAAGTAGGCTACAAAAGAATAATTTAGCTTTTTTCAGGGTGGTACTTTGCCATTTGGTCATGGTTTTGCTTTTCTTCTTTGACCACAAAGAAATAATTAACTTTTATAACAATTTAAAAGGCAGTTAAACCAAATGGCAGTCAGACAAAAAAAAACACAGATTTCCATCTGGCCACGTAAAACGAGACTCTAATGGTAAGATCTTATTGCGTTTGTCTGAATGTAAAAATTCATTGTTTCTCATTATTGCAAGGGAATAAAGCCTTTTAAGTGAGAATTACTGTTGCACAGGCCATTGGGCAGAACATGGCTTCTCTCACCATTGCTGAGAGACACCTATGGCTGACGTTATCTGCGATGCGCCCATCTCCACAGCTGGCCTCTTTGGATTATCTATCAAAGATTACACAAATAGATTCGCTGAGGTTCAGAAGACGTCACAGGCTATAAAGCACTTCTTACCAAAGCGCTCTAGCTTCGCAGCAGATCGCCCAAAACGTATCGGTTACCTAACGTAACCTCGGTTCTCTCCAGAAGGGGGAACGAGCATTGCATATATAAGTTAGCTTACGCTACGGAAAAATTATGCCAAAAATTATACCTTAATACTGGGATTGTCAGAATGGTTTCTTCCAAAAATGTGGCCTAAGGTGACTCAGTGGCGTGTGACATTTGATAGAAAAATGCCTGGAGCAGCAATGGTGCAGGAGATTAGTTATGTTCAGATCTGACCATCTGCAATAAAGGTCACCACCCTTATTACCACTGATGTTTTGACCTTAAAGTTAACATGATGCCACTTTCATTTTTACACCCAAATAAAGAGCATGTTTTTTGTCTTTTGTCATTTTGTGGTTAATGTTGAGCATTTTGTCTGATTGCTGTGTTCACATGCTTGTTTGCCATGCTCTGCAGAGCGTGAATAAGACACACAGCAGGCTCAAAAGAACTATTTCTGTCTTATATTGCCCCTTTAAAGGTCACTCAATAAAAGCGAAATTACTTTTTTTAAGTATCTTACCAGATTTGAGTGTCCAAAGTGGGCTGGTCTATCTTGTATGGTGTAAAGATAGGTCAAAAGGGTCTCAATCAGCCCCTGTGGGAATTCCTTTAATTCGTCCGGGCTACAAATCAATTTTCACTTTTAGGTATCCTGTAATTCTCTTAAGGACAACAGTGTGCATGTATTTTTGTATTTGGGTGTATGTGTGTTGGTGGTCCTGGTATGTTATTGGAAAACATTTTTGGTAAGACTGAGGTCTCAGAGGAAAACAACTGGTAAATCACACTAAATTATGTTTTTTTGAAAATATAAAAATGCAGAAGGGTTTTGTTTGGGTTAGATGATAGAATATACAGTTTGTACAGTATAAAAATCATTGTGTCTATGAAAAGTCTTCAAAAAACCCACCATGAAAAAATGTGTGTTTAGAATTCTCCTAACTGATTTATGTTCCTTAAGAACACAACACTTGCTTTATTTTGAGATGGATTATTGAAAGTAATAATAGGCCTAACTCAAAGTTTAATAAATGAGTCATGTGTTGATTATTCCAGTGAAAGATTTGTTGGATGTTTTTTTATTGTTAAATACGGGCACATTACAGTAATTTATTTGTGATTCTGATAAAAAAAAAAAAAATCTAGCATCTTGCAGTTGATGAAGATTTGATTTGATTTGTGGGATGCACATCAAGAGCCCAAAACTCCCGTTCCACCACATCCCAAAGATGCTCTATTGGGTTGAGATCTAGTGACTGTGGGGGCCATTTTAGTACAAAGAACTCATTGTCATGTTCAAGAAACCAATTTGAATTGATTCAAGCTTTGTGACATGGTGCATTATCCTTCTGGAAATAGCCATCAGAGGATGGGTACATGGTGGCCATAAAGGGATGGACATGGTCAGAAACAATGCTCAGGTAGCCCAATTGGCACTAAGGGGCCTAAAGTGTGCCAAGAAAACATCCCCCACACCATTACACCACCACCAGCAGCCTGCACAGTGGTAACAAGGCATGATGAATCCATGTTCTCATTCTGTTTATGCCAAATTCTGACTCTACCATCTGAATGTCTCAACAGAAATCGAGACTCGAGACTCTATTTTTTTCAGTCTTCAACTGTCCAATTTTGGTGAGCTCTTGCAAATTGTAGCCTCTTTTTCCTATTTGTAGTGGAGATGAGTGGTACCCGGTAGGGTCTTCTGCTGTTGTAGCCCATCCGCCAAATATAACATACTCCTCATATTTTGATTGTTTATTAGCACCTGAAGTGTAATTAAAAGCAAATATTCTGCAAATACCCCACTCCAGACATCACTTGTCACACATTACACATCTTGATTATAACTTTATATCAAGTATTTTGTACAGTTTTATTTAAAAACTAAAATGAGGAATTTTAGATAAGCAGCAACAAGTCCTTTTAGCAGACAGCCCAATCAGAACACAGGTTAAAAAAAAAAAATCATGATTTTTCTTTTCTGAATGCCACTGATTGTTAAATAATGTTGTATATAATGCAAATTGTGTAATCATGATTAGTGTCTGTAATTACTGTTGTAGTGAAATAAGCCAGGTTTTACTTTTTTTAAAAGCATAAACACAAGTATGAGCTAATCAGTCTTAAGTGCTCAGAAAGCTCAAAGATCAAGCCTCTTGTTATTTTTCTGGTTCTCGGTGCTCTCATCTCTCACGCTGTCTTTCAGCAGGAAGTCAGAGCGATTTCTGTGAACAACCTTCTGAGGCACTTCAAAATTAAATGGCATGCAGACTGATGAAGAATGCAGATGTATCAATTTTTCTAGCATACAAATCACATAAAGAGCAGTTCAACAACCGACTGACTGATTCTATACAGCAAGACGAGAGTGAGAAAAGCAAGAGGAAATTGTATTATTATGATTATTATTTATTGTGCCCAGAGTACTATAAAAAGTTGACAAAGTGTGAATGCCGAGGACGCAAATGAGCTTCACGGAAAATATTAGCAGAATTTAAGCAGGATAATTTAGCTGGGCCTAATGTGATTTTCAGAATTAATCTCCAGGTTCCAAATGTAATTAATTTATGCAAAGAAAATCTATAAATAATTCATGTTTATAATGAGAAATGGACTCAGGTGAGTCAATAATCTGGGATAATAAACATTACTGATCATTTGTCATGACGAATGGAGAGAACACCTTAATGCTGATGGAAATAAAGACGAAAATTAGGAAAGTAATAAAAAGACACAAATAAGTGTGTCGCAGGTGATTATAGCCCACTCAAAATGGGCTATTATCTCGCTTTTTATATGACTGAAAGGATTTTCTCAGTGGGGGAATTATTATGAACTATAATTTTACAGTCCTCCAGTCCTCTGCAGCATCAGCCTTTACGTTATTTTATTTCTTCAGCTCAGCAGGCAGAAATTATTTCTTTGCGTCAGCAGGAGCTCTTACTTAGATTCATACTCAGATTCATGTTGAGTGAAACACTGGTGTGAAATCAGGGCCATCATCATCATCATCGTTGGCAGTCCAGCCTCTCTGTGAATGAGTCTTTCACCAGTGGCAGCTAGTTGTCACAGGTAGACACTCTGGACCCTTGAAATAGAATTCCCAGCAGAGCTTCAACAACTGGGCAACTAGTTAGATTTAATAAGTGCTTTTGTTCGAATTACAGGGGTGTATGGATGAATGCAAGTTGCTAGCTGGCGTCTATCTTGTTGATTGTACAACCTTCATTTATTAACATATTTTGTTCTTTATAGCTCATGTCATGTCTTCATACATTGAATTGCTGGGTACTTATACCCACTGAGGCTAGTAAAGTAGAATTTGGTTAGTTAGCAAGGTTAGGTAGCAAGGTAATTCTCTATTTAACCCTAGGGTGACCAACAGTCCCGTTTTTAGTATCATCTGAGAACCCGATCTATCTTAATCTTAAAGGGATACTCCGCCCAAAAATGATCTTCCTTTGTGTTCAGCAGAAGAAAGAAACTCATACAGGTTTGCAACAACTTGTAAATGATGACAGAATTTTCATTTTTGGGTGGAGTATCCCTTTAAAGGGACTCTGTGTAGATTTTTAGGTATTTTATTATCTGAAATCAATATTTTTATTCATAAATATGTCCTCAATGGTGTACAAATACCTCTGCAAATTATCTGACTTATCCTCGTAAATGAAGAATTTATTATCTTTATGTACATGGGACGGGTAGGTTCACGGAGGCTTCCATGTCCGTTCCGCCATCTTGAAAACTATAATAGCAGAGAGGGTCAAAAAGTACCACCAGCCAAACGCGTTTCCACAACGCGTTTTCGTTCAGACTCAGAGCCATCGTCACGTCACATTGAGAGGCGCATTCCCTGCAAGTTTAAACGGCTGCATTGCACTCCTATGATTGCTGATTGCTCTTTTGCTCTATTATTTGTTGCGGACCATATGCCGAGTCACAGGAGAATGCATCCTCCTCGCAAAAAAAGGCCAGACTTGAACGAAAAAGGAAACGTGACCGGAGATTGCAAAAAACAAGGCCATTCATTTTTCCGTCATAAAATTAATCGGATATGGTTCGATTTTCTGCGTTTTTCGCATCCAGAGCCAGCATTTTGAGAGGTCTTTTGACAATTCAGGGCCGGGGGAGCTCGTCCTCAAATCATTGAACATTATGCGCCGTGCTTTCAGTTTCGGTTTTCAATTCGATCAAGTGTTTATGTTCTCTTCTCTATATTGGATTATGAAATTAATAAACCTCCCCTTTCAATCAGATTGAAATTTAGGATCGAATAAGGTGTGATTGAGCAGCCTATTCGATAACTAATGTATTATTTGGGCACAATATATACACAACAATAACAGCCTAGCTGTTCTGTCTGCCCAGCGCTTCCACAGGGCCGCGCGCGGGTGTGTGTGTTTGTGTGTGTCCATACCTGGTCCATACCAGACACACTGCCAGTCTCCGTTCAGAATCGATTGGTTCACGGAAATTGGTGGTCTTGTTTTTAATATGTGGCTCCAGAATCGCTAGCAAAGCATCAAACTGTCCCGCTGACATTCTGAGGTAAATTTTGAATCGCTCAGGATAAATTCGCAACTTCTTGATAATGAACTCCTTCCTCTCGGCGCAATTTCAGGATTGGATGGATATTTTCTATTTCTTCTCTTTTCCATATGAGAGAGGGCAAAAATCATCCTCACTGCTTGACGAATCCATTTGGTATTTTTGCGTTTTTTCCCGCAAAGGTTTAATAAATAGACTACGCAACGGACTCGGTGTGCAAGGTTTCTATGCGTGACGAATTTTTAGGCTGACGTACAGGAAAATACGCATACGAAAATTTCGTACTCATTGTGCAATGGCCTTAAATATCGGGATAGCGTTTTCAACCGTGGAAATAGCTAATGCAGCAGAAAGATTTCAGAAGAGACGCTGAAGTTGCCTGCTTTCTCCTCGACAGGTTAGTCAATGTTACAGTCTGACTTAATTTTTTTGTCATTGCTTGGTTGTGTACTTTATTATATAGACAGTATAACATTTAGAGGTAAAAAAGTTAAACAAGGTCTTTGATGAATAGCAGCTATTGACTACTTTACTCGCAGCTATTGTGAAGGAAGGTGCTAAAAACAAGGTTTGTAAGTTAATTCTTCATAACCTATAAATTCAGTAAGAATATAGAGATAATGATTGTAAGAAAATATTGCTCTCTGTAAGATTTTCTATAGCTTTCTTTTTATATATAAATGATCAATTAGCTAAAATTGTGATTTTGCTATGTGGATAAGATTGTACAGAGAATTAAAATTAATTTATACAGCTAGACACATAAATTGTACACATAAGTTAACACATAAGTTGCTGTTTTATTTTTAAGTTACAAACCTGTTCACCCGGAGAAAAACTCGATGAAGTGTTACTACAAGACATCCTGTCATAGCATTTTTGGTACATAACGGCAACCGTAGATGCAATACGCACTTGAAAATGCGAGGCGCTGGAGAGCAAAATTCGTTTGAATGCAAAATACTATTTAACCACTAGATGGGGGTATTTCCTACACAGAGTCCCTTTAATGAAACTTTGATTTTTTTTTCACAGAGACACTATGAGGAAAAGGAAAGGGCACACAGACATCAGGCACTTTTGGTGCTATAAGAAGTAAAGAAGCAGTACCCCCCAATAATGGTGAGGTAATTAGCACTCTGTTTACCTCCCCGCACTTCGCTTCTCTTTCTTTTCTTTCTGCCGCCATGCATACTTCACTCACCCTGAGTGTGTATTAGACACTAGGTGTATTCAATATTCAAGGTTCAGTCATAGAAATGGCATGCTAATGAGGGGAAAAAATATTAGTGGGGTAACTAGGCAGTTCAGTTTTTATAGACTTTTGTGGGAAATGTATGGGAAAATATGCACAAGAAGTGACATAAAAACATGTATACAACAATGAAGACACAGTGAGATAGGTATCTTTCCATTTTGGTGCATTTTTTATATTTACACATTTAGACAGCACCATACAAAAGTCATTACAAATTTGATGATCTTATATTTATGCACAGGTAATTCTGAGGCATTCAAAAGAGTGACTCTGATCACAACGAGATGAATTCTTGACAAGTGACAAGTACTAAATAAAAGCTAATTGCATAAGAACCGAACTATAAATAGCTGCCAACAAAAGAAAAAGAGCCGAGTCAATCTCATCAAAACCCCCTTAATTACTGATTGGTGATCAGATTACCTCCTGTTGCTTCTGGCTTAACCACAGCTGCAGGAAGAAGCTTAGCTATTAGACCTGTGATTTAAACGCACTTTCCATCAATGCATAAAATCAGTGATTTTGAGCATGTGCAGACTGAAAGTAGAAATGACAAGTTGTGTTTAGCATAAAGTCCAAAAGTCGCAAGAATCAGACACAGATGAATCACACTTAGTGAGCTAACAGGTGCTGACAGTTGACAAACCAGTTTCTCACAGCTCATTGAGCTCGATTAACATTTTTAAAGCAGAAACAGAGCTGGGCGGTTTTCTATTTTTAAGACTGGATCATTCTAAATAGATTTCTCCCTAAAGTTCTGTTTAATCTGTATATCTCGATTCCCTCAATATTTCACAATATTAAGTTATCAGGATACTGATGCAATATTACACGTGTGACCATATGAATGAAAAAAAAATCATTGATTTCATATACATTTCATTTCACATACAAGATGTATATTTTTAAATATACAGTACATATTTAAAATATGATAACGTTCTGTGAAATGGGTTGGTCCATTTCTTGTTTTGTGGTTTGAAACAAATATATGTATTTTCTCTTAAGTTCCAAAGAAAAGCCAGTGATAGTGCATGTGTCAGTGAAGATGAGAAAATGCAACTGCATTGACCATAATGCACCTCTGTCCGAAGTGGCCACTGTTTTGACTGTGTACGCACTGTCAGTACACCGTGACACCTTCCAGACATGACACATCCTAAATGCCATCATGACCATTTAGGCTTGTGAGTTCCAAATGTTAACCTCTGAACTCTTTGTATGTTATGTGCACTGTTCGGGTCACCCAGAGACAACCCCCTCTGGTCTTTCCACCAGTCGTAGGGCCTCATGCATCCCGGCGGCTGACAGTCTGCGGTTAATATTACGGTAACGGCAGCTGAGCAGACTTCGGTAGGTGGTACGCAGGTCGCGGTTGAAGAAAGCATAGATAAAGGGGTTGATGAGTGAGTTGGCGTAGCCCAGCCACAACAGAGTTCTCTCCACCCACAGCGGGACACAGCTACACTCTGTGCCACAGATGAAGGGCCGGGCCGTAGACAGGAGAAAGAACGGGAGCCAGCAGACGGTGAACGCTCCTACCACTACCCCGAGCGTGGCTGCCGCCTTCTGTTCTCGCTTGAATATGGAAATGCTCCTGCGGTCCGAGCTCCTCCTGCCCACTCCTCGCAGGATTCGAGGCAGACACGCACACTCTTCCACTTCTCTCTGAAGCTTGATCGCAACGGTTACGCAATCCACACCCATGGGACCGTCCATCCCATCGCCCCCTTCCACTTCCACCTCATCCTCCTCTTCCTCCTCCTGTCCTGCACGAGGAAAGCCAGTGATGGTGTGTTTGGCAGCGCTGAGCTTGGCGGCGCGGTAGATGCGGTTATACATGACTAGCATGACAGTCATGGGGATGTAAAACGCAACAGCTGTAGAGTAAATAGTGTAACCAAAGTCCTGGCTGATCAGACACACGCGGTCATCGTTCACGTTCTGCGCCCAGCCAAAGAGCGGTGGCAAGGTGATTGACGCAGAGAGCAGCCACACTGAAAGCACCATTTTGGCCATGCACCATCCGTTCTGCCTCACTGGGTATGTTAGGGGTCTGGTGATGCCCAGGTACCTGTGATAGAGGGAAAATACAGATGGATACACTTTTTTTTTTTTTTTACATCATTGTAAAATATTGCATGTAACTTAAAATAATAAAAAAAATATTTAAAAAATATTTATTAAAACATAAAAAATATATTTATTTTGTTTAACAAAATTTATTTCAAGAAAAAATAATGGTTGATTGTTAGTTAATTATACCTAATGGATTCACTAATGATAACAAACTGACCGTCATTGTAAAGTGTTGCCAAATCATTTATCATGTGAGAAAACTCACCGGTCGATGCTGATAACGCAAAGGGTCATGATGGACGCGGTGCAGCACATCACATCCATGGCTATGAACACGTTACAGAAGAACTTGCCAAAAATCCATCGGCCACCGATCAGGTCCGTGATGCTGACGAACGGCATCACCGCGAGGGCAACGGAGAGGTCCGCGAGCGCGAGGGACACGATCAGATAGTTGGAGGGCTGCCGTAGTTTTTTCACAAAACACACGGAGATGACCACGAGCAGGTTCCCGCAGATGGTTATGAGTGTGAGCATAGTCAGCACCCCACCGATCAGCACCTTCTCGACCTCTCCGTAGCTGAGGATCTGCTCCGCGCAGCTCGTGCCGTTTGCCACGTCCATCATCTCCAGTAGGATCGACGAGCTGGAGGGCTTCATATTCAAGGAAGCGGAACCCGTAGACACTGCCATTTCTCCAGACTCGTCTGCAATTTTGAAGAGTCGAGGGACGAGGATCTCGGAGATCATAATACCGTTAGATGTTTCAACACATGCACCTGTCTCTCGCGCGCGCTCCTCTGCCATGAAGGGCTTCATAGTTTGTCCGTGGCTTTGCGCGACACTAGTTCTGTTGGTATCGCCCAGCACCATGCCGTGCTCCTTTTATCCATGAACTTTTCAAAGAAACAGATGATGGCACGAGATGAGATCACAGCTGCGCGCGCAAAGATTGATGCGCATCTGATTAACGTTCAGTGACGCGCGGATAATTTCTCTATTTTTAGAGGAGATCATGGTGGTTCGTCATTTTCGCACACAATGCTTCGAAAAAAAAAAAAGAGAAAAGTTTGTCATGTCGTTTTTATGCAAGTGATCTAAGCTGGTGTCAGGCTATTTTGTCCCATCGCAACAACAAATAGCCTACGAATTTGGAAGATAATAGGCCATAACTTTTAACACGGTTGCAGTTTATAATCGTGATAAATTAATTGATACTAGCTATATTACAGTAACAGAATATATAGCCTAGTCTATCGACATTTTGTGTCTGATGTAATTTGCAACCCGATGCACGTACAAATTTTATTAGGTGGCTAATTTCGAATACGTACTTGTACGAATACGTGAGAATGGTATTCCATACTGACGATTTTTGCTAATTCGTACATAGGCCTACTTTACGAGTTACCAAATTCGTATGATTTCGTACGAATGACCTCCCTGACCCCACCTCTAAACCATGGGTTTAGACAAATCATACAAATTCGTACGAGAGATCGCCACAATTAGTGTTGCAGTATATTTTTTGTCAGTGAAACGTGGTAATCAAATAAATATTTTACCACCACCAATAGGCCCATGCATATAGGACAATTTATAGTCTAGGCCTACTCTACCGTCCCTTACTGATTGGCTTCATCACTGTCTCTTCACCAGGAAGCTGGTGGTGAGCGTTCTGGTGAAATATGGCTGGCGTCGCATCATCCAGGTGGATGCTGCCTGCAAATTGGTGGTGGTTGAGGAGACCCCCCCCCCCAAAAAAAAAAGAAGGGAAAAAAAAAAAAGGAAATAGTGATATGAAAATAGAAAAGCATTGCTCTATTGTTATTATCGACCTGAAGGTCTCTATATTAATTAGGTCTTTAATATATTAAGATCAGGTATATCTATGGGTCTGATAGAACTATTCTGCAAAGTGTGCCACAACAAAATCACTATTTAGCATTAAAAAATAAATAATAAAATAACATTATTCCACAGAAACCAGACGGAATATCATTATTCTTTTTGTTTTGTAAAGTACCGGTACTATCCTGAAGTTTTATTTAGAAACAAGCATTGTCGTCTCCTAGTGGCAGTAGTGGCAATATCTATATACCGTCTATGGCATGCTACATTCAAACGAAAAAGGCAAGATTACAGCTGCGCGCATGAAACACATTTGAACATATTTTTTTTCTCTTTCCTTTCTAAGACACATGTGCTCCTGAGAGCAACTGAAATCATAAATTGACCTAATGAAATTGGGACCAGCTGCTTAAAAGTAATTGCAAAATGTAAAAGAATTAGTAGTCGTTAAATCTAATAAATGTTTTAGCAGATTTTTCTCAGATTTTTCACATAATATGCCTCTTTTCGAGTCTGCAATGACTCATAAGAGTCCCTTAATGGTCTAAATGCTTTTAGGGCTGTTTAATAACTATCCTACACTCTACTGATAATAAAGTAGGCTAAGCCTAAATTTGCAAATGGCTATTTCTTTTCTGGCTTATTATACTTTAGTATTAGTCGTACACAGGGGCGTTTCTAGGGGCTGAACCCGAAACATCAGGGCCTGGGGTGGGGAATAAGATAGCATGATTCGATACAGAGAATAATGCATATTGCAGGCCTATGCAGTGGCAGACTGGCATCCCTGGCACTGTAACCATACCAGCCCACATTACCACACAGTCACACACATTCAAAAGTGAGGAAGTTAGGGGGGTTGGGGGGCATACTCCCCCGAGAAAATTTGGATTTCTCAGACCATGTGTGCATTTTAGGGTGTTTAAAGGTCATAAAAATGGTATAACAATAGCTTTAAAAGTATGTCAGTGGGCACTGGCAGTAGCATAAAAGATGACAGATTCTTAAATATGAGAATGAGGATAAATGTTGAAATGAATGATCCACACTTGGATGCAAATGCAGAATGTTTCTGCTTATTGTTGACAATACACAATCCATATTCCTGAGAAATCTTTCAAGGATTATTTTGCATAGCCTAGATGAATTTCTACAGAGGCGTATTGCATTCACTTGAAGAAAAAAAAATCTACTCTGTTTTTCTGAATTAACGAGTTAATTTTTCATGAGAAAAAAATTGCTCTGTTTTTCTGAATTAATGAGTTAATTTTTCATGAGAAAAAAATATTTTGCTCTGTTTTTCTGAATTAATGAGTTAATTTTTCATGGATTTTTTTTGCTCTGTTTTTCTGAATTAACGAGTTAATTTTTCATGGATTTTTTTTTTTGCTCTGTTTTTCTGAATTAACGAGTTAAAAAAATAGACTGAAAAAATAGACGGAAAAATAGACATTTTACTCATTAGGCTGCTTCATTAAAAACGTGACATTTAGACGTTTTCTTCGGGGTGGATCCAGGCAAATGAATCCTTTTCACCTTGAAAATAATAAATGGTTTTTTTTTTTTTTTTTTTGCTTTTTAAATAATAGACCTCTCAGTGATCATCAATAAAAGAAAATTCCAAATAAATATATATATATATAAAAAAACTTTTTTTAATGCCATCTGAATTTCTCCCAACATCTAGTACGGAAACACGCTAGATTATAGTTACAAAACTAGTTTGTTGTGTAAGCGTCCTTCTGCCGCCCATAGAGGGCAGTCAATACAGATTCACGTGCGTCTGATTTTCTCGAGGAGTGAAGTCATGGCTGCTGTGGCGCTCGTACAGGGAGCAAGCAGAGGTTTGGGTTTAGACTTCTGCAAATATCTACTTTTAAACAAATCTACAGCATCCGTTATCGCAACATGCAGAAATCCGGACACTGCACAATATCTGGCAGCGCTGAGCGCGCAGCACGCGGGCAGGATGACTGTACTGAAACTGGATGTCAACAAGGAAGATGACATCAAGAGAGCAGCTGAAAATGTCAAATCAGCCTTTGGGAAAGTGGATTTGATCATTAATTCTTCAGCTATGCTTCATCCATCCGGTAAAGGAGAAACAAGTTTACGGGACGTGTCCGCTCAGGTGACCAATGGACCTTTTATCAGTATAGATAGGCTATGTTGTGGGGCAAATTCAAATGCCATTTTTACATGTTATTTTTTTTTTTTACAGGGAACCATTTCCACTTTGGCCACTAATACGGTGGGTCCTCTAGTGATGGCCAAATATTTTGCCCCTTTGCTTCAGAAGGGAACAGGGGCGTTTGGCCAGCAGCCCCCAGAAAAAGAGAAACAACACAGTGGCATCATTGTGAACATGACTGCTAGAGTGGGATCGATAGGAGACAATGGTTTGTATCCCTATGCAAAACAGTTTTTCTTCATTAGGTTTAGAGGGGTGTTTCATTTGAGGAGGTAAGGGAGACATGTACACTACAATGAGAAAAAAATAAAACATGTATATTACGACATATGACATTAAAATCTTCCAGTACACAAGTATTTACAAGCAAGAGTTCATTGTTTATTCACCAGCAGCACACCATGCAGACGAACAATAGATACGTGACTAATTTCATTGCACAGCATCTCAAATGTTTTATATACATAAAAAAGAGCATTACTTGAGGGGACAGCCATTTGTAGTGGTGTCCGAAACCATAGTGGATGTTATCGAGTACACTCATTCAATCCTATATTGCACAGCAATTAATTACGAGATAACGTAAATTAATTGCTGAAATAAATACACTCATTTTCATTCACTTCAAGTAAACCAAGTGAGTTTACTTCTTCAAGGAAGAGATTTTAGTGAGGCCAGCAGGTGGTGCTCACCCTGTGGTCTGTGTGGGTCCTAATTCCAGTGTAGTGACTGGGACACTATACTGTCAATGAGCATCGTCCTTCAGATGAGACGTTAAACCGAGGTCCTGACTCTCTGTGGTCATTAAAAAATCCCAGAATGTTCTTCGAAAAAGAGTAGGGGTGTTACCCCGGTATCCGGGCCAAATTTGCCTCTTGGCCTCTGTCCATCATGGCCTCCTAATCATCCCTATATACTGATTGGCTGCATCACTGCCTCCTCTTCACCAGTAAGCTGGTGCAATATGGCGGCGGTCTCATCATCCAAGTGGATGCTGCACATCAACGCATTCTCATCCCAAGGCATCATATACGTTGCTTTTGCCAATGCACAGACAATGCACAGTTGAGAACTCCTGCCTTAAATCATGCAATGAGTTTGGTTGAGGGCCCGGGGTAATTGAAAATGATGAGGTAAAGTCACATGAGAGGAGGCAATGCCTCCATTGGGTTATGCTTGGTGGCATGACATAAATTTGTAGGCCAAAACGCAGACATGAGTTTTAGCACTTTGGAATTTTGACACTTCCGGTTTCATCCTCGTCCCAAATTCAACGGATTTCTTGAATGGGTTTTGGTTAAATGGCTGGAACAAGGTCTGTGGTTAACACCAGCTCAAGACACTGTCACGTATTCTACGAAATAAAATACATCAGTATTACCCACTCATGCTTTTTTTCAAACTGTTACATGTCTTGAAAAAGGCAGTTGCTAACATGTGGCTACAGAGGCAGTTGGGGAGATTAAATGTCATCATGCCAAACAGGTAAACTCAACTTTCATGGAAAATGTTTTTTAGATAAAAACTGAGAGTTGTCGGAAGCTTAGTGATGGTGACGTTTAAGTCATGGGACTGTGGTGTAGTGATCTGTGAAAATGATCTTGATGGACAAAATGTGTATAATAAACGTTTGTTGACCACAGAGCTTGTTTTATGGTAAATATTTTTGTAGAGGGAACCAGTGTAATGCTAACTGCCAGTTGGCCTACAAAGTGGTGTCATATCCTTGGTCTACGCTGTTAGTGCATTAAATAATACCGCCTCTCATTTTTGTGCGTGTTCAGCATTCGCGAAACAGTCTAAATTTATAATGGCTTTATTGGGATGACTAATTAAAAAGTAAGTAAACGACTCACCCAATTAGATATCGCCGCCTTATGTCACATCTAATTCAGACTTGAAAACACTATCTGTGAGGGGTTTTTTTTTGTGGGCAATCAGTTTGGTGAAAATAAAGGTGCATCTCTGTGTCTGTCTAAAAAACACACTTGAAACTTTGAGCCGGCGAGCCGCCGGCCGCAGCAGCAGCAGGAAGTGTCGCGTGATATCAGGTCTCGCGATGTAACAAATTGCTTTACGGCAAGAAAGATCTGCTAAAATGAGCATCAAACAGAAATAACCTGGCGCCGTATACATGTGGTGTTCAAGGCGAATACAATACAGACTGCCGACAGTTCAACAGGGAGCAGCTCTTAAAGGGCCCACACCTTATTTCCACTCGTTACAGCTTCCATCCTACTGAACAGGTACCGGTATACAGGGGGAGGGGATCAGGCCGTGAGTGCAGAGACATCTCTGTGCGAGTGCTATTTATGACAGTACAAGTACTCCACAGCGGCTGTAGAGGTCAGAGTTGGACAAAAACGGAAATCCTGCATAGTGCTGCTTTAAAAATCAACTTGATGAGGAAATATATTTCGTTTTTATAAACAGAACATTTATTACATTGTTAATGTAAAAATACTAAATAAAATTGTACTGGTTGATTGTTTATTTGATAGTTTAAGTAGCTAAAGCTTATTTAACCTGAAAAAAGTGGCGTCAATATTTTTTTTTTTTACTTAGTTACTTAGTTTAACTTAGGTAATTAATTTACCTCCTTTCCCTTCTCAATTCAGAACACATCTGCATGAGCTTCAGATAAATACTTTTATGAAAAAAAATGTATGCTGTCAAAAATCAGATGAACTTGTGTGGAAAACTGATGATTTAAAACGTTTCCTGTACCTCAGCTTAAGTTTATGCTACCAATTACCTGATAAGGGCCCTTCAAATATGACAATAATGAAACTGTACATGTTACATGAAACAAATTTGTCTTATAATTTTTTAAGAAACTCATGCACACATTTTCAACAATGTTTTCTTAAATCTGTTTCTCAAAATAAGACAGAACTTGGATATGATGTTGCATTTTAGAGGCCCAAATTATTTACTCATACTAACATATAATTATAATTTATAGCTACCTGTTAGAAGTGACTTCAGATAAACTTAACTAGTTGTTTACTGCCACATCTGAATTATTTCTTTCTTAACAGTCTGAAGCTTACCACTCTGTTGGTTTATATTTCTGTCTACAGTTCTTGGAGGATGGTACAGCTATAGGATGTCTAAAGCTGCCTTAAACATGGCCACCAGAAACCTGTCCATTGAGCTGGGTCGAGGGCGATCTAAAATTGTGTGTGTATCCCTGCATCCTGGAACCGTGAATACGGATTTGTCTCGGCCCTACCATCGAAACATAGCTAAGGACAAGCTGTTCAGCGCAGAATACTCTGTCCAATGCCTTATGAACATAATAGACAATCTAAACATTGAAAAAACAGGGAAAGCCTATGCATGGGACAACAATGAAATACCTTGGTAAACAGTCACGTCAAAAACAACAGCGTTGGGTCTACCTCATTTTAAAATAAGGTGAATAACAAAATAATGCTGAAACAAATAATCAGGTAATGTAAATCTTGCACAGAAAATAAATATTTGCATATTAATAAAACACTGGGGTTTAAATTTGACTATTGTTTTTTAGAGACACACATGCATTCCAAGATTTATGGATGTTTTAGCAGATAAGACAAGCTTATCCCAAATTAATTTCACAATAACAAAAAATCATAAAAATACACTTGTATTTTCCATTTTATTGTTTTAAAGTCTATAGGTTTAGATCAAATGTTTAATAAATTACATTTTCATTTCTGAATTCTTTTGTTTGGATCCAAGAAAATATTGATGTTTGTGTTGCCTTACAGAATTATTCAGTTGTCCTCATTACATTTTGTCAAAGATGTCCAGTTCTTTAGGATGGTTCCAAGTAGTTGTTGAGGTCACTAGTGTCTTATTAATAGCAATTTCCTAAATGCTTTGACCCCTCTCAGTCCTGAAGCTATTTTGGCATGTAAAAAGTACCACACACTACTTTCCAGAAAATGTTCACAGTGAGTGAAATGACATTTGATGGTGCAATTGTTCCGCTGTTCTAAAGCTTACTGAACTGACCAAAGTCAGTTAACTCTGTGGTGTGTGGATACATAAAATGTACTTATTTTATCTCTGGTTATTGTGGTATTTACTGCTCTCTGCCACTCAGTCAACTGTCTTTTACTTTTCTCTCCATTAGGTGGTGGGTGAGCCAATTTAGCAATCAAAAGGAAAATAAAATACAAATTGCAACATTTATTATTATAAGTAGATAATGGTGTGAAAAGTATTTTACTATCAGTCAGAAACTGTTGATTGAAATGTAAATTTGTCTTTCTGTGGGTACTAAAATAAAATACTGAATTTAGCAGAAGGTAATTCATTTGTTTAAACTTCAAAAGCATAATCTATAGTCAACCACATATGTCTGTATTTGGTTAACTTCAGCAAGAAAATAGATGAGATATTTAAAACCAGCCGCGTTTATTTTAAACGACTGGAAAAATTAGCCTGCACGTGTTAATTTGGTTAAAAATCCAATTATTTGAACCCTCCTTTTTCTCTGTCGTCCATGACACTTGCTTGCTAGACACCCGAGAATCACCAAACTGAAACTCCCGTTCGACCTCATTCACCCCCATACTGTTCACCCCACACGTAGTGAGAGAAATCTATCTTAGATAGATAGATGTTGACTTGTAAGGAAAGAGCGTTTTGTACTTTGGTCTTTTGCTTGAGATAATATTAGAAGATTGATTGTGTGTTTGTGTGCAATGCTCTGCTTGCACTGAGCCGTAAACTGTCTCGAGCCATTCCTGGTGACGTCATGAACCGGTTGTTTGACGTGGTATCTGCCGCAGCGCCAGGACTATGGAAATATGACCGACAATGACCTCGACCGCAGCGCTTGTTGGTTTATTGCTCGTATCGTTTAAATTCGACACTTGTAAATACGCGATTTTATCATTGCTGAAGTTGTTGTAATAGTCATTTTTTAGATTAAATCCGTGCATTTGGTGTTAGGTCATTATTAGCCACGCGCTTTTTCTTATCTCGAGACGGAGCGCGGCACATTCATCAGCACGTATATCTGTGTGTGTTTTGAGGCTTACAAGAGTCGTACGCTGTTGACAATTCCTGTGCATTGAAATATGGATAAGGCAAAATCAACGATGGATCAGAAAGGTTCTGGTCCTTGCAACACAAACATGCACAACAAGGCAATCCGGCGACAGCTGAGCAACGGGAGCTGTAGCCCATACAGTCCAACGGACGATAATTACCACCATCTTCACCACGACCCTCAAACCAACGGCTCTCCGGCGAAAAGGTGTCGGCTGCGGAGGCGATTGGAGTCGGCAAAGAAAAACAGACCGCGTAAGTTTACAGACACCTTCAATGTTTTTAGGTAATATCTGTAACTTACATGATTTCCTCAATGTCTGATAATTAAGTGATGCCCTAAAGATACAGACAGACCTCTTGGTAAAGACGTGTTCGAGTCAATATTTAACACGTTGCGAGAGCGGTATTCCTCGCAATTAAATTGAAATGTTGCCAGTGTAATGGCACAATATATACTTTGCCCTATTTTGAGCCAGTTACTGTCATAGATTTAACGTTACAGATGTCATCGACTTCAGTTAACCCTCACAATTTCACCTCAGTTAACTCAACTGAATAAGGGTCCAAAATGCAAATGAATCGATTGCTTTATGTACTAGCGTTAGGCTACGTAACATTTGAGGGACTGGATTAAATAAGGCTGCAATTCTTATTTAATTCACTTCGCTCAAAAGTACATTGCCAAATTGTAATATATACTAAATTTAGGTCTAAACCGTTTATGTATGTTGACAGACTTTTAAGTATAACACAGTAACAGTAGTTGGTGTAGTTAATAATAAATCAGAAACCGCTCTAACTGATTCATAAGTGTTTTGTTTCAATAAAAAGAATCGAATGAACCGAGTCATTGCTCTTGCAGTGGATTCGGTAGCATTGAATGGTACAGGAATTGCCAATTGTCAAATTATTTGAGTGGGTTTATTTTCATTCGATGTTACTTCCAAAATAGTAATAAAAAGTAATGCAAGAATCACTGTCATATTATTGTAATACGTTCAGTTCATATCATCTAAGGATGACGTTCGAGTTATTTAACGCTTCTCGATTGAAAAGCTTATTTCATTTTTGCATGAAAATCATTCAGTTGCGGTATTTATACGTATAAAAAACTTCTCAGCTCCCAACCTTTGAACAAACTGTCATGATTTCTGTGCTGTGTCTGACCTGCTCACTGAAGAGTGTCTTTTGTTTTGATGAAACCTGAGGCTGTTCTTCTCGCTCTATGATTGGCCAGTGTAAAGTCAGGAGGTGTGTTGAAATCGCTCCTGATGTAAAGGCTCGACGCGCTTCGACCAATCAGCGCTTGACTTCGCGTAGCCGCGTTTAAAGGACAGACAAAAACGCCCCCATCCTTCAGTATTAAGAATTTCTCTGTATTTATTCACTTTTGCTAAAGCGACGCCAAGAATTCAACTTGCAAGCCAAACTGATCTTCTAATTTCTGTCTGTTTGTGGGCTTTCCTACTGGTTAGGCTTTTGTGTTTGCACTTGAATGTATTAGGGCTACCAGCAGGATGAAGTTTAAGTGTTTAAAGAAGCCAGGTAAGACATCACCTCATCCTTGTGTAATGTAAAATATCTTGCTTCCTTGGAATTGCTCTGACACTTTTTGAAAAGTTATATTTGCAGCATATTCTGGTGATTGCAACACTAAATGGATTAGATTTTTTTCATTGGTATTTACTGAAGTGCAAAAATGTAATAGAACAAAGTGAATTGATGTCAGGTTTAGTTTCTGTTGCCAAAGGTAATGGCAGTAGAAAAGTAACTTTTTTTACAATGCTTTTGCAGTTCTGCAAGTCTAAGTTTTAGTTGCGTCAAGACTGCATGCCAGGCCAGCTTGTCTACATTCCTCCACTCCAGCCAACTTTTGTGTGGGTGGTAACACCTTTGTTGTTGCAGTTGTTTTTATTGTTCTTTTATTTATACTCAACCCATGTTAAAGCAACAATATCGAGGGCTTGGAGCCAGAGGGGCGTAAGTGGTATTTTGGGCGAATATGAGTTCTTTATATCAAAATAAAGGTCTCGATGAGCTCTATCCAATGGTGCCAAAATACCTATCTGAGATCAAACTGTATTGAATAAAGCAACAAAAAGGCGTATTTGACTTATTTGACTTTTTGTTTTTCTGAAAATGTTTTAGAACATTTTGATTGTGTTAATATGCCATACATTTTTTACTTAAATTCTCATTTCATGTAAGTATGCCTGTGGTTACAATGTTTGTGGTTTAAGGTTAATAATACAGGTGATTGTAGCATGGTCAAAATTTTGTTTTGTCTCTCCTGTAAAGTTTGTTAAAAGCCACTTACGCCCTTCTGGCTCCAAGCCCTCGATATGTAGTTTTTCAACCTTCATAATATATTTCCAAAACCCTTGTGATGGTACATCGACTTACAGTAGGTTAAATGACATGTCTGCCATAGCCTGACGGGGTCTGTATCACTTATAACTGACACTACGTAACTTCGGTAGTAACCCAAGCACAAAAAGAACTACAAAATTCGACTGACAAGGTGTGTACAAGGGCTACGTTCTTGCAAGTAAATAATTCATGATTAGACGTACTGCAGGCTGATAGTCATGTTTGTTTGTTTATTTTTCTGGTGAAAGTGTCTTGCCTCAGGCTGTAATGCAAATCGATTTTTCAAATTTGCAGATTCATCTATGGTAGCTTGATATTGTAATATTGACGATATATGGCTATTATCTATCACACAAACATTGAATTTAATTAGCATATTTGAGTAAAACATTTGCCAATAGGCTACTATAATGACGCTGGCTTGTAAACGTGAGCTACGCAATCTTTTGGCATTTGAAAAAAACAAAACCCATGAACTTATATTCATATGACATGCTGAAATATATGCCACTGTACTTGGGATGAAGACATTTCACACGCAACGCAGGCAGTCTGCCCAAGACGTGAGAACTCCTTTTGCTGAGTTCGGGGGTATCAGCCTGTAAACAAATGCACGTGTAATCATGACAGATTTTACGACAGTAGTAGAAGACAATACTGTTCCCCAACTGTAGGGGGACCCCAAAAGCAAAAGTTACCTGGTGTTACTTTAATGCTGTTAAAAAGTATTCTTACCAGATAAACAGTATTCTGAAGTATTTCACATGGTCCTCTTTCACATGGACACTCATTTGGCTTGCCGACCATGTCAGTCCCTCTCCTTCACTCGGTCACATTCTCTCTCTCTCTCTCTCTCTCTCTCTCTCTCTCGTCACTTTTTCGCCTTTCCCAGCTTCTCACATGGACACACTTGCCTGCCAATTTCTCTCTCTCTCTCTCTCTCTTAGTCTCTCTCCCTTTCCATGCCTCTGCTGACTGGGGGATGTAAACAGACCTCTCACTCACATGAGTTGTTTGATGTCATTATGTCAGACGACTGTCACACGCCATTCACCTGCTGCTTCTGGCTCAGATCATTCAGTTCAACGAAGAAGCAACATTGTTAATTTCTGGCTAGTAGGGCTAAACGATTTATCACAATGAAAACGCATTCGATTTGGCGAAGGCTGCGATTATTTTATGCGCAGCTTGTGAGTGCAGCACGGCTGATCGGTAGTAAATGCTGCTCCATCTGAAAGCCAGTAGACAACACACGTCATTCCAGGAAATCCCTATGGACATCATACTATCGCTGTAGCTGGATAAACAGAAGATTGAAATGCTTTGATACATTTAATTGAATTAATTTATTAAATGTTGTGTTTTGTTGGACAAGAGGTTCATAAATGCTTCTCAAGTTTGAAAAGATGTTTGACGCATGTTGCTTTTTCAAATGCACGCACCTTATAAGCGATTCAAACTCGCAGTGTTTTCAGATGGAGCTACATTTACTACGGATCACAGAGCCGTACGTCACTGACAAGCTGCACATAAAAAACAACCGCAGCCGCTGCGATTTCATAATCGCAATAATCCGAATCGATTAAGCGTTATTTAGGATGCATTTTCCTTTGAAAGCAAAGCATGTGGATATTTATTGAGTTGGGCTCTCGTCCACTTGATTTGCATGCTTTGAAATAAGAGAATGTCCAAAATAAATAAACCTCCCAGCATATGCCCACATCTATATTAGGGGGGAAAGGAAGCGTGAGGGTCATTTGAGATGATGTTGTAGCAGAGAGCATACTGGTCAAAGACAGGTCACCTGTGCAATACCAGCTGACAATGTGGCAGGTGCCCAAATTTTTCCTGACTTCTCTGGGTTCAGCCCAGTGAACGTCTGATGTAAGAGTCATATCAGTAATAATGTACTTATTATCTGATAAGATAAGACTTTGAGCTCTCTGCTTGTTAGACACTGATTGGTAAATTAGGTCGGGTCTGCTGATTTTTTTAAATTTATTTTGAAATAGACATGGGAATCTGTGAACATTTGTACTGGTTCTGCTTCTAAGCATCTTAGAATAGCCATTTGCAGCTTCGTGGCTGTTGCCATGGTAACTGCCTTGACTCCTCATTAGCTGCTGCAGTGTTGCTCATCACTGCCTCTCTTTAGTTGGCCAGCTAGTTATATTCGATTAGTTTACTTGCATTCAAATGTTTGCTTCTCTCATGTTCTCTAAGTCTGCATATATTTGATCACAGAATACTTTAAAGCAGTAATATTGTGAAATATATTTAATGTTTTTTTTATCATTTATATAATGAAAATAAATCTAATTTATTCCTGATGGCAAAGCTAAATTTGCAGCATTGTTACTCTAGTCTTCAGTGTGACATGATAATTTTAGAAATCATTGTAATATGCTGATTTGTTGTCGTGTTTGAACTGCTTATTGTTTTTGTGGAAACCACCATGATTTGAAAGTTCAAAACAAAACAGCATTTATTTGAAAGAAATCTTTTGTAACATTATTAATGTATTTCTGGTCACTTTTTCCAATGTACTGTGTTCTTGATTTAATAAAAGTAGACATTTCTTTAAAAAAAATATTGTAAAATTGTTCTTAATGAATATAATAATGAATATAAAAATGGTTATTTAAAATAGTTTTTTTACAATATTACTTATATTATATTTTTTTCTGTATTTTGGAATGAATAAATGCAGACTTCCTGAGCACAAGAGACTTCTTTCAAAAACAAAAATAGTAATGTTTCCTAACTTTTGACTGGTACTGTATGCATTATTGTTTTTGTGGAAGCCACCATGAATTTAAAGTTCAAAACAAAACAGCATTTATTTGAAAGAAATCTTTTGTAACATTATTAATGTATTTCTGGTCACTTTTTCCAATGTACTGTGTTCTTGATTAATAAAAGTATACATTTCTTTAAAAAAATATAGTAAAATTGTTAAAATGTTTTAACTGACCTTTATTATGTGGTGGATTTGTTGTTTTGTAGTTTTTAGTTGGCAATCCAGTTTGTCTACTTTCTTAATCTTTGGAACACAATTTACACAATGACATTAATCAGTCTCATTGTCTCTTTCTAGCCTTTCCATGGTTTGGGATGGATATTGGTGGTACTTTAGTAAAACTTGTGTACTTCGAGCCAAAAGACATCACTGCTGAGGAGGAGCAGGAGGAGGTGGAGAATCTGAAGAGTATACGCAGGTACCTCACCTCCAACACAGCCTACGGAAAAACCGGCATCCGTGATGTGCACCTGGAGCTGCGCAACCTGACCATCTGCGGTCGCACAGGAAACCTGCACTTCATCCGCTTCCCCACTGCCGCCATGCATAGATTCATACAGATGGGCAGAGATAAGCACTTCTCAAGCCTGCATACCACACTGTGCGCCACCGGAGGTGGGGCGTACAAGTTTGAGAATGACTTCAGATCGGTAAGGAGATGGCCGCATTTGGGCTTTCAAACGGTTTTGACAATAAAATCAAGTGTTTAATATACACCTATGTGGGGTAGGATTTTGGACCAATGAGATTTCACAGCTACTGCATCATGCCAAAGAAATAGAAACCAGATTTTTTTTTTTTAACTTGGGTCCTACATTTTTTTTGTGGAACTCACCACATCCTAGCTGAATAAAATATAAATTTATTTAAAAAAAGAAAGAAAAATATTGAACAGTAGTGTATTTTCTTACAAAAGATTTCAATAAACACTTTAAAATAAATGCAGTTCTATTTTTAATACTTTTTATTCATCAAAAATCCTGAAAAAAGTATTAGCTTTACCGTTACAGGAATCTTAATGAATATAAAAATGGTTATTTTAAATTATTTTTTTACAATATTACTTGTATTATATTTTTTTCTGTATTTTGGAATGAATAAATGCAGACTTGATGAGCATAAGAGACTTCTTTCAAAAACAAAAATAGTAATGTTTCACAGCTTTTGACCGGTACTGTATGATTTGAAAATATCTTATGCTGAACAACTGTGATAAATAGAAATATTATTACAGTTTGAAAAATAACCTTTCTTTATTTTGATGGAAATCTTTTGTAACTAGTTTTTAATGTCACTTTAGCGCGTGTTACTTTTAAGCTGACCTATAAACATATTAAGCATCTTATTTTGGTCCAAATTGCTCAATGGAAAGTCGAAGCCTGATGTTTTTTAATTGTATCATCAAGAATTACATTTAAGGGATACGTCTATTGCATGCAGCCATAATTTTTTTTTTTTTTCTTTGTAGATGGCAGACCTAGAGCTGCTGAAGTTGGATGAGCTGGACTGTCTGATCCAGGGCCTGCTGTACATAGACTCGGTCGGTTTTAACGGTCATCCTGAATGCTTTTACTTTGAGAACCCCTCCGACACACAGAACTGCATCAAGAGACCCTGTTGTCTTGACAACCTTTTTCCCATGTTGCTGGTCAACATTGGCTCGGGCGTCAGTATTCTGGCAGTGTACTCCAAGGACAACTACAAACGCGTGACAGGCTCCAGGTCAGCACAGCTGAGCAATGTGCACCATGTAGCAGAAACCCCTTAAAATGAGTTACACACTCTCAATAACACTGTGATAAAACAAGTAATTTATGTTTTTTTGTTTGTTTTTTCAAATTTGTCAGAAATTCACACGGAATGTTTTATTTGTTAGAGTAACTGTTGAAAATGGCTGAAAAAGCTTGTAGTACCAAATAACAAGCTAAAAATAATGATAAAATAAAAAAAACACTACATTTATTTATTATTTATTAGATATTCTCTGAAAAACACTCTTTGCTTATTCTGTCTTTTCTGTGAGCAACTTTTGCTAAGATGCATCCAGATTTTTTTCTCCAGCTTGAATTATGAGTTTACCATTGGCTACTTTCTAAATCTTGAACCTGATTGTTTCCTCATCTCTCATGGACAAAGAAAGCCTGTTAGAAGCATAAGAGCACCTGCTGTGTTATTTTTTCCCTTTGAAACATGAGACATGAGTCCTCTTTAGAAGATAACAAATCTGTGATTGACAACAGAGTAGGTTGACGAGTTAATTTTAAACGTGTTTGTACCAGAATGGAACAGCATTTCAGCAGTGACTGACATGAGAGGAGAGGTCAGCAGAAGTAAAAGTATATCACAGTTTCCACAAATTAAGCAACACAAGCTTTTTCAACATTGATCATTTCTAAAGTTTGGAGTAATGATGCTATAAATTCAGCTTTGCCATAATAGGAATAAATAACATTTTAAAATGTATTAAAATAGAACATTTTAATATTTTACAACATTAGGCTACTGTTTTACTGTGTTTTTAATCAAATGTAGCCATGGTGAACATGAGAGACTTCAAAAACCTTTAACATTTATAATATAATATGTGAACTAGTCCTTGCTTTGTGTTGCAATGACCACACACTGTAATCTGGAATGTTTCAGAACTTGGCCATAGGCACATAGTTTAAATTGATTTTAAAGGGCAAAAATGTCTGCGTGTGTGAATGCACATGTGTGCTCTTCAAATGTAGCCGTAATAATGTTTTGATCCTCAATGTTCCTTTCTCACTCTTTTTCTCTTGTAGTCTTGGAGGAGGGACATTTTTGGGGTTGTGTTGCCTGTTGACGGGTTGTGAGACATTTGAAGAGGCCCTTGAAATGGCCAGCAAAGGGGACAGCACCAACGTGGACAAACTGGTGAAGGACATCTATGGAGGGGACTACCAGCGCTTCGGCCTACAGGGGTCTGCGGTGGCTTCAAGGTACAGAAGACACTCTGCGTTTGTGTGTGTGTGGTGTCAGATGACAAAGGTCCACAAGTGAAATGTGATGCTATGGAGTCTTGCATGTAGGCCTGCCTGTTTCATGTGACACAAATGTACAGTATGAGACCCCATTCCTTGGTTATTTTAATAAACACTACAGTACTTTTCAAACATTTGCCATCAGTAAAATTATTATTTATTAAAAATAAATTAAATTTAATTATATAATATAATATTTAATATGTATTAAAATGATTATTTATTAAAAAAAATTAATGCTTTTATTTAGCAAGGATGCATTGCATTGCTCAAAAGTAACAGTAAAGACATTTATTATATTATAAAAGAAGAAAAAAAAGAAGTTTTTCTTAAGTTTTTTTTAATTTTCTAAACTCAAAGAATTGTGATGGGGAGAAACTTTCCACAAAAATATTAAGCAATGACTCAGTTCAATTCAAATGTATTTGTATAACGCTTTTCACAATACATATGGTTTCAAAGCAGCTTTACAGAAAGTGCATTTCAGAAATGTATATAATACAGTGATGTCTGAAGGATTGTGTGACACTGAATACTGGAGTAATAACTGCTGAATATTCAGCTTCGCCATCACAGGAATAAGTTACATTTTAAAATATATTCAAATAGAAAAGTTATTTTAAATTAAGAATATTTGACAATAATACTGTAAATAAATCCATCGAATAACATAAAAGACTTTAAGAAAGAGACTATGTTAAACTGTAATTTGTATATATAAAATAAAATTTGTGTGTATGCATGTTCATTATATATTTGTAATTATATTTAATACTATATTATTTTAATTTTATATATATATATATATATACATATAACTGTTTACAGACTTGGTTGCAGTGCTTTCTGTTAGTGTCTGTTAGAGACATAAATATGTGCTTTTGTTTTTGTTATAGTTTTGGTCACATGATGAGCAAAGAGAAGAGGGAAAGTATTTCTAAAGAGGATTTGGCCCGAGCAACACTCGTCACCATAACCAACAACATTGGCTCCATCGCACGCATGTGTGCAGTCAACGAGGTGTGTGTGTGTGTGTCTGCATGTCTGCACCCACCAGTCAGCAGCAGCTGTGAGCGTCTGTCTGGCCACTCTGGGCTTCTCTACAGTGTTGCCTTGTAGCCTGGTGATCAAGCAGCATTGTACAGGGCTTTCAGGGTGTGCAGAACACCATCAGAGCAGTAACTCCCAACAATACCTGGAGAATACAGGACTTTTATCACATTAGCAAGTATCTATGACAAGTTGATGGTAATAAAAACAGAGATTTAAGCACCTGCTATAAAAAGTCCATAAAAGGAATTGCTTGTGTCAGGACTCCCTCTGCTGGTGAAGAAGAAATGCTGCTGGAATCAACCTGCTGTTAATTCAGTCAGTGTGAGCTATAAACAGGCCCACGCAGAAACTTGACGCTCAATTTTACCATGATTAAATCTGTTTCATGAAATTCTGTAGATTTTCTACCAAAATGAGTTGACAAATGTGAAAAACATCCACAGATTCTATGGTCATAAAACTCATAACTAAGTGATGTGATTATGTTTTGTCCTGTAGAAAATCGAACGGGTTGTTTTTGTGGGGAATTTTCTGCGTATAAACACCGTGTCTACAAAGCTTCTTGCCTATGCTATGGACTTCTGGTCTAAGGGCCAGCTGAGGGCCCTTTTCCTGGAACATGAGGTAATTTTGTCTTTATTAAGTTTCAATCAATCGTTCTTATTCTATTGCTTATATTTTCTCAAATTTTGGAAATACATTTAAGTTCAAATGTTTGGGGTCAGTAAGATTATTGTAATGTTTTTAAAAGAAATCTCTTATGCTCACAAAGTCTGCATTTATTTGATCAGAAATACAGTAAAACCATAATACTGTGAGAATTTTTTTTTTTTACAATTTAAAATAATATATATATATATATATATAATTGTATCTTTTTTATACATTTTAAAATGTAACTTATTATTTTGCTGGCAACAATTATAGCAGCCATTACTCTAATGTGTGGATTTGGTGCTCAAGAAACAATTCTTATTATTATCAATGTTGAAAACAGTTTTTGTGGAAACTGATCTTTTTTTCCCCCTTTGGATTCTTTGATGAACAGAAAAGCCAAAATACAAATAACAACGTTAGTTCAATGAAATTATTTTCATATATTGTTTGTTTATATGCACACTAATATGTGTGTATGCACGTTTCAGGGATACTTTGGAGCTGTTGGTGCTTTTCTAGAACTGCTGAAGTCTTCTGAGGACGCATAAAGTAATGGAATCCTCATCTCTCATCATCCAGAAGCTGCTTTAAGACTTCAACAAAGAAGCTCCAACAGGAACACTGGAATACTGGAACACTGGAAAATCTGAAAGAAGCCATTATAGTAATTAACCTGTAAATAACCCTTAAAATAAGATTTTAAAGAATATTTTTATGAGTAACTTAACCTCAGACTGATGACTAACGGAATCTAATTGTTAATTTGTTTTCCTTTAGTTGTTCTCATTTTGTACTGTTTGTAAATATTATTGTGTAGTGAACAGGGAGAGTTTACTGATGGCCAAAACCTGCTGTTTAAAGATTTGCTGTTCTTGACCAGCCACCAGCAGACCCAAATGATGTTTAACACACTATTTTAATTCAGATTTAAGCATCAGGTGCTGTGTCAGGAATGTGTCCCGGCTGTTTGGGATACAGATCCTCTAAGTAAAGACGTTGACACTGTTCTCTGTACAAGCCATTTCTGGTTGCATCTCCTTTCACTCTTCCACTTTGCTACAGTTAACAGTTTTCCATGTAATTTTAAACAGTTCAGTTTAGAATCACTGTTCACTTTTATTATATATATATATATATATTAGCGCTGATTCACATGAAGCCTTTTATTCTAAAAGTATTGACAAAAAGCTCAGGGTGTCTCACTTTTAGTTCTGAGAGGGAATTCTGTGGGACCAAGTGGCCAATTTGACCTTTCAGATAATAAGTTCCCCTAACATCCCACATTTTTTTGTCCTCTTTGCCTCTGTTTTTTTTCCATGCTGCCTTTTCCTATTCTTTTTTTGTATCCAAACCTAAACTACTTCATTCATCTTAGTCAGAATGCATAGTCATATATGCATATACTTCCTCTTTGGTTGCCTTCCTCCCATCTATGGTTGAAAAAAACAGCACTAACAGTATTCAAAGTAGCAGAGAGATGACAAAACAGAAGGATTAATTCAGTGTGACAGCTATTACCCACAACACCCCTTACTTCACCATTCAAATATCAAACATGTTTAGACAGTTCAAAGACTCGCCCATTGTGTTGCCATTGTAGTGCCAAACTGAAAAGTGGAGGTGTCAAACCAGACAGCCTACCAATACAAGCATTCCTGTTTTACCACCAGGCTATGCACATCATTACTTCTCCCAAAAGTCACCTAGCATTATAATGTTAAAATGAAATTCAATATGTAATCAAAAATAAAAAAACACTACTCCCTTACTAGTTATATGATGTTCTTTAGTCCTCCTTGCTGTCTCTCATGCCTTCTATGTGATTGCTCTCTTCTTTTTACTGAATTCTAAGAAAAATCTGAATTTGTGCATATATTTTTGGGACCTCATGTCAACTGCAATATTTTCTTTTTCAGAAAATGCCTATCTAGGTGTTTTTTTCTTCACCTTTTATGTGAGCTTTTTGGGGGTTATAATTGCTAGGTAAAAATGTTGTATTGCTTTATAATATTTAATTATTGCTTTGGTTGGCCTTGTATGTTTGGCATTAAATTATTTTCATTCTTGCTTTGTTTGCTTGTTTGTTTGTTTACCAAACACTATATGATAGCAGTAGTATGCCACTTGAACGATTAGCATTCATGATATCGAAGTCGTCTTCCATTGCGATTTCCCGTATATCTAAATATGTCTAGTGAAAGGTAAAACTTCCGAAATCTCCATACAATGCGTGACGTAGACGCACGAGAGATCACTTCCGGCGTAACGTCTGGAGACGGTTCAGTTCGGTTCAGTTGGACATTGATTCAGATCAGTTTGACGGATGTTAACAAGAGGTAAAAGCTATATAAATACTGTTCGTTTTCTCACACAAACCGCTCTTTCGTGTCTTAGGCCATCAATGTGTACTTACATTTACGAGTCACTAAATCATGTTTAATTGTGACTTCTCTGTGTATGCTCTTTGAGGTGGACCCCCTAAAACTGCATAGGACTGTCTGACAGATAAGAACGGTTTGACCAAAAAATGTCAAAATTGAAATGCTGTGGAAACAAAGACACCTACATCTTGGATGCCCTTGAGGTAAGCTAAAACATATAAAAAATTAATTTCAAAGTGAACTATCCCTTGAAGTATGGTATTGGTAACAAAAATTGTCCTTGCCGCCCAATCCTAGTAAGATATGAGTGTGAACATGCTTCAAAGTGTTCAAGTGAAATATATCTAAAGCTGTCATCTATAGTGTATTAGATCAAAAATACAGCTTCATTTTGCAAACACGGGTGAGGCCCTCAGAGATTGGTGTAACTTGTTATGACAGCAAGCTACAAAACTAGCTGCCAGTTACAGCCACCTTTTTCTGCTCTAAACAATGCGCGCTGCCATTACGACGATGCCGGTTGTCAACTTCCGGCTCGAGTCTGGTCTATGCTTTTTTTTGCCATGTGTTTTAGATTGTGTCATCCCCACATGGCTAAACCAAATCGAAATAAACATTCATCAAATGTGATCTGATCACGTTATTTTTTATTAAATCACAGATAAAAACAAAATGAATGTTTTTCTTTGCTTCATAACTTCTAAAGGATAGCTGATGCATGACTCCAAAGTCTCCCTAATCCAGCAAACATCCGACAGTCTCTATCACCCCGACTGCTGCAGAATATCAGTACTATAAGGTTAGGCTGGTTGGTCCTTTGACTCTGTCTACCTCTGCTTTCAAATATGCATAGCGTATTTCTCAGGCCTGTGAGGTTAGGCATAACGTTACGCCGAGTTTCATTCATGAGACCAAAAGTCCAGTCTGCGCGCTGGTTGATGGAGTCATGTGTCTCTGAGAAACTAGCTGGGCATGTCCTGTTTGCCACTGTTGGCAGTAAGCTTCCATATATTGCCTGCAATTAGCATCATCATTAAGTAAATTGAAAAGTACTGTTCACAAAGAAAGAAAGAAAGAAAACATTCAAAATAAAAGTTGTTCATCTGGCTTTGGTGCTTCCTCTTCATTAAAGTTATTCAGGATATTTTTCACACCTTTTTGCCATGAAAGCAGAGTCTCCATTGGTGTCTTTCCATCCTGTAAATGACAGATCAGTTTAAGGATATATCCATTAAAAATATACCTATTCAAACAGATATATTTATACAACTAAGATTTCCAAGGAATTCAGTATGAGACAATTCTTTCATTGTTCCTTTATAATTCCCTTTATCATCTTTTTAAGCATATCTTGCTTCTTAAATTTTATAATCTGACTTTATAATAAAGTCAGCATCGGGGCATTAAAGGGTTAGTGACCCCAAAATGAAAATTCTGACAGTAATTACTCACCGTCATGTTGTTCCAACCCCATAAGACACAATGTCCCTTTAAACATAATCCTGTTGTAACTCAATCAGTCTCTAGATCACCATGCACAGTTAAGATTGTATGTACCCTGATTGAACTTACACTGTTTTTGGCATTTAGACTGGCTCCATACATCATCAGCAATTTTATCATATTAAATCTATTTATCCTCACTGCGTCGTGCATTGGTGTGTCTCCATCCTACACAAGCACAAAACATTAGCATTAGAGAAGAAAGCAACATGTGGGACAATGCATTAAATTTACTATTTAAAATGTTTCAAAGAAAAAAGTCACTTTTCCTCAAGTCTATAGTGTCATGTTAATATTACATATTAAAATTACCATATTAAAGCTTCTGAATGTTATGGAAATAGAATTCTTACCCTGTCTTTAGCATTGACGTCCGCTCCACAGTGAATGAGATGCTCAGCACAGTTATAATGTCCCGTCCGAACTGCAACATGGAGGGGAGTGCTGCATAGCTGAAGATACACAAGAAGCGTTTAAGTTAGTCCACCTAGTGCTAAGAGTGCAAACTACAGTGCTTCATCATTGCTTTCTACATAAACTTTAGCATGTCAAGCATTAGAATGATTTGTGAATGTAATTATCACTGTCCAAAGACCATCTGGTGTCATACGCTTACAGTAGCTTTATATCTACCTTGTCTCTAGTGTTGAATTTGGCTCCATTATTTAAAAGCAGCTCCAAAGCATGCAGGCTTCCACCTCTACAGGCCCAGTGCACAGCTGAGGCATCCAGCTATGATTATGATAAAAAAAAACATCTCAGGATTATAATATAAAATAAATGTGAGGAAATAATCTTGTAGCTCTGGTGTAAAAGTCACATCAGCCATCTGTGCTACCTTGTCTTTTTGATCCATGGATGCTCCACTCTCCAGGAGCTTCTGCATGATCTCTGTGTGACCTTGTGCACTGGCTTTATGCAGAGCTGAGCGTTTAAACTGAGAGAGAACAAGTGAGAGTCAGGGTTGTTACTGTTAACTAAAAATAAAAAGGGAAATTATAAAATATAAATATCAGGTAAAAAATGTAAAAAGTATTCAGACACCAGATATAATGTTTTATATTTTTTACTAGTGGGTGCAGGACACTAGTTCACTGAGGATAGCAAAATAAAGTAAACTGTGACATATTATACCCAAAAGTCTTCATGCAAGTGGACTACCAGTAAAATTTATAAAAAATTGCCATCAATTTATTATATTGACACTTTGACCTGACCATGTTTAGTGACCTGACCAAGTGTTTTTTTTTCTTTAATTGCTAATGCGACCTTTTAACGTCACAGACTGAACAAACTTAAGCATTGTTTAGTAATTTGTTGACCTAAATTGGTATTTAGCTGTCAGCTGACAACTATTCAATCTAATTCATTTGTGTGGCAGTAATAGAAGGATGTCCAAAACCAGTGAAATATCAACTGATTTGATAACTCTGAGTTCTTGTAGAAATGTTGAAGGTGTCTGAATACATTTTGGTTTTACAGTATATACTGCATATATAATGTTTTGTGTTACACACTCACATGATCACAGACATTGGGGTCTCCACCATCTGATAAATATTTTTCAACAACAAGTATTTTATTCTCTGTGACAGCCTTTAGGAACAAAGCCTGGTCCACTGTCTCAGGCTGAAAAAATGTTAGCCAATAATTACACCTCAAATATGTACATTTTAGGGGTTTTGAAATGATACAGCATTATTTGCAGTATACTGTAGAAAGAGTTCCTTACCAGGATATCAGGCTCTGGCTGTTTCTTTAACGCTTGAATCTTCCTTTCCTTTCTCCTCTTCCTCAACTCCAAAATGTTAAAGAGGTCTTCTACAGTTTCTAGTTTTAACTGTCCTGACCGGTCAACCTAAGAAAAACAAAAAGACAATATTTTATGCTACTGTGTGAAAATGTAAAGCCATGTTCTCTTTTATCAAGTTGTAGGCCAATTCATTCTTACATTGAGTTTGAGCTTCTCTTCACTCTGTTTGATGACTTTCTGGGACGTTTCATTCAGGTCTTGTTGTGTCTGACTCTGAAGACCATCTTGTTTCTCCTGAATGATGCTGGTCTCATATTCCCCTGCAGCGAACGTCTCTGCACAGGCACCTCCTGCCAACTTTCCCTCACCTCTCTTCCCGGTGACCTGTGATTAGATGTGACACCCATAAGTCTTGGAGCACAAGCATCTGTGGTCTGTGACCACAGCTTTTTTTCAAGGATTGAACAACTTCCAGAGAAAGAACAAGTGTGTAGTTTAAAGTAGATGTAATTTGATTTAGTTATTCTGTGGGTGGGGTGAAGGGAGTGTTCAGCTGTTTTGAGAACCTAAAAAAATAAATACACACATTTCTGTTGTTTAAAATAGGAAGACTGACCAATGCAGTTGGCTTATTCTAGACATCCTGGAGCCGCCTTAATCGCTGAAAGATATTTAATAACACCACATCACCCCCTATCACCCCCATATTCTTTCTCTTTTCTTATATTATTTAATGTAAATCTGTTTCTTATATATTCTTTATTTCTTCACCTTCTCTAAGAATAAGTAAGCACACGCATTTACTTTTCCCTGTCTCTTATTTTTTTGTTATCTTTTTATTCGTATTAATTTTCTACTTTCTTTCTCGTGTTATTTCTTTTTCTTATATTCTTCATTTCTTTCAACAGTACAATTGTAGCTTGTAATTGTGAGCAGTGTTATAAGTTTATATATATATTCTATAGCTTTTATTTTTTCAGTATTCGTTTTAGCTTTGGTTGCATTGGATATTAAAGTTAGTTCATAACAATGCACAAGTAATTCAGGGAACCTGTTACCACAAATTAAATAAATGCATGGCTGCAAGTTAAAAAAAAGTTTTCATTTAATTAAACATTTCAGGTTCTGTTGACACAATGTTGATTAACTTAATAGTGTAATTTAAATTAAATTTTTAGCATTAAATTATTTTTTTTGATTAAGTTGTAACTTAATAATGAAATTGTCTTGATAACTTTCGAAATTGGGTATGCTTTGCACATGACTGGATAAGGAGAATAAATGTTAAAAGTAAAGGGAAATACCTGTTGGTGTAATTCTGTCATTTGTTTAAATGATGTTGGTTGAATATAATTTAATTCAGAACTCAAAAAAGAAAGAAAAAGAGATGCAAACTGTTGAGCCAACATATTAATTTTTAGAGTGTGTCAACAACATTAGGACGAGAACGAGCTGCATGCATCACCACAAACCTTACCAGCTCTTCAACACGCTGCAGTCCCATGCTATGATCTGGAGTTTGACACTTTAACTCGTTTTGCTGTAAGGCTGCCTGTCAGTGGGCGATAGTTCTCTTTTGTGGTAAATTAGAGTCCCAAAGCAATCGGTGTTGTCTGCTCAGCTCCCAGATGGTCTGTAGCCTATCTCTTCCACCACCACCACCTCCCATATATATGGTTCCAGACTCTGGCACCGACCATAAAAAAGTTAGATCATATCCCTTACATTCTCTCCCGCTTTTTCACCGCCCACAAAATTGCAATGACACCTTCATTCATCCTTCCCGAACCTCTGATAAATCTCGTGCGCACGATGACTGCAAGAGCCAGGAACGTGCGGCTTCCGTTCTGGAATGGACGGCGCTAACGCCGGCTCACGCTTACCAATAGCTCTAGACTTACAGTAGGCTACTGACCAGCAGCGACCACTGACATGTGTGCAACAGGTGCACAACGGCAAGACTGATGTCTATTCCGCTCGTGAGAAAAGCAATAAAGCAGTGTGACGTGGCCTTTTTGTCAACCATAGTAAGGCCGACTAGACTAGCTACTTGTCACCTTATTTACTGTCTATGCTTGTCACTCTTTTCTGGCCTGCTGCTCCAAATAATATTTCTCAGGGTGGGTCTATTTTTTAATTCAGCTTTTGTTAAGGCACATATAGGCTATGATGCTTATCTTGACTCTTGCCTAACAAAAGTTATTTCCCCGGATATTTTCCGGTAAAAAGACAGGTATCAGGATAAGTTGTCACAATTGGTTACCATTAGGCAGTTCAGTTTAATTTAAAGATTAAAAATAATTATAATAATTAAAAAAAAAAGATAACAAAAATATTTTAAAATAAAAAAATATAACAAAAATACATCATCTTTTTGGTCACGATAATATACAAAAACGACAAAGATGCAATAACTTCTAGCCCCAGTCACCTCCATAGAAAAGTAGCTTCAGTAGACCAAATAAGAGTCTTCAGTGCAGTATACAATTTATTTTGTTTGTGATGATTATATTTATATTCAAGGACATTTATTTATTTTTGTGCTCTCTGTTTTCACATGGGCTCGTGTCACCATGCGTCCTTTAGCAATCAAGAGCTGTTAACACTCACTATATTAATGGCCGTTATAATTCAAGACTCCATTGTAACAAATGTTTCAAAAATGACGTGCCAGTCTGTGAAGTTGTGCAAGTCTGGCATGAGCGTGCCAGGTATGGAATGATGTCTGTGAACTTCCTTTCACATGGCAATGCTGTCTGATGACAGTCAGTAACAGGCTTTTAATAGCCTTATGGTAATGACAGAGTGACATTTTTGAGACACCTTTTCACCTCTTATGGACAGAGTGCAATATGTACAGATAAATCTGAGCTGATGTCATCCATCAACAGCCGAGTTTTTGCAGGTGCATGTATCTGCAAGGCGCTGAAATGCCACAAGCTGAGCAGGTGCAGAATTGCACACTAGTGTGATCACTCAGTGAAATAAAGTTTACTGTAAAGAGTGAGGAGCTCAACCAGTCCATCAGCCATAAATCAAAATCAATCTTTTCCTTAAAAGAAAAAACACTTCACTTAAAAAGAGACATTCCTTAAAAGGAGACACTTAGGCCAGCTCCAAGTCTCCTTTCTAACAATAAAATATTTAATCCACAATATGTTATCCACAAATAACACATGACTTTGGTATTTAAACAGATCTTAAAAAGAGAACATAAATGAATGATCTATAGCTTTCTACTAAACTGAATAATATACATCATTTTCTATTAATTTTAATGCTACAGAGGATTTTTTTGAGGAAAATTTGTATTTAATAAAATTTAAAGAAACTTTTATAATATTTTTCCTTTAAAATTCCTTTGTAATGGCGGTTTTATGCACAAGTTCCCTCATCGAGTTGGTCTCTCAACATTACGTATGGGGAAATCCATTTTCCTCGAATCATGAAGTCTGATAGAATAAATCTTTTGCTTGCAAATAGTATTGGCGGTCCCGCCATCACCTGATTGGCTGACACTCCCCAATATAGGTGACGGCGGGTGCCTCAGAATCTTTTTTCTTTACTCAAGTCTGTTTCACCGTTGATGTACGTGTTCAGAGCGGAGTAGGCTATATTAAGGAGTTTTTATTTCTCCTCTCGCATTCCGGTGGATTATTAATATAATCCGGTGGATTATATTATGAACTCGAATACAATAATTTCCTGTGCACAAACAGTAAATTACTGTTGATTTCACATGTATTTTTTGCAGTGTAGGGTTTTAAGGCATAACTTTTAAGAATGTGTGTCTTTAACAGTTGTGATGTTTAGTTAAATTTAATTAGGGTTGTCTCTAATAGGGTTATCTACAGGGTGTTACCAGTTTTAGTATCACTAAAGGCTTGTTGGGATTCTGAGCTCTAACATACTAACCTTAGCAAATGGCTTCTCTGGCAAGTGATTGCATAGGGGAAGCAGATGCAACAGCTGCCTTAGTTTATTATTGGTATAGTGATGATTTTTATTTTAGTGGATCCAAACATCCCACTCTTCTTTGCCCACATGCGTGCATGCAAACATACTCGGAGACATGCATGTAGAGTATGATTTAATAATCATGAAGAAACATGCATGCATGGAATAAATGAGCACAATACGAAAATAATAATGTTCTGCTAAAAAAACAACCAACAAAAAAACATGCAGTTCCCAAAACAAATGGCTATTTGAAATTCTTATTTAACCCTGAAAAAAAAAAACTGAAAAAAAAAAACAAACTCTGGGACAGGGGCAGTAGAACACTAACAAATCAAACAAGAATGTTGGTATCATGTTCTCACAATGGCAAGGGCTTGGAATGCTACAAGGATTCGGAAGTGCTATGAAGTTTTGGGAATGGTGATTTGGGGATTTAGGATTCTATGTCCTCAGCTGTGGCCATATGTGTTGTTTTAAGATAATTTATCTCCCCTCTTGGTTCACATGACAGGTTGCATGTGAATCACTTGATCTATTGTGAATTACTTGAAGTGTCCAAAACAAATATATTTCCTCAACACCTGACCATTCCAACAGCACCCAACAAGGTTCTGTGACAACATTTTTCTCTGTTGATTTACAACACATGTATTGTGTCCACATTTGGGTCTGAGTGATGAATTGGCACAGTCTGTGCTCAAACTATAAAAAATAGAAATAAAAAAAAACATTATCAATCAATTCATGCATTATATGTTCTATTGTTAATAATAGGTTATATTGTCATGAATGCATTAATTTACATTTTTATTTTATTGTAAAATTCATTGTAAAATTTTCAAGTTTACGAAATATTTAGATCATACAAAGACAAGGGTCTGGATCAGATACACACAGATTATTCATATTCATTATATTTAATGAATATAAAGGTCTATGAAACTCCCCCAAAAATTAACATCACAAATCAAGTTATTATGTCGGCCGGGTGTCCTGTTACAGAGCATATTAAACCCATGGGCCTTCCGAGCCAGGTACCTGTCCTCCACCTCGCTGCCCCACCCTGGGTATGCCTGTGGTGCCTCTGGTCCCCCTGGTCCGGTTCATCGAGGCCTGGACAGCGCTTCCCAACCCATCCAGCTGGCTCCTCCGTACCATAAAGCGGCTACATGATTCAGTTCCACCGGCGCTCGGCCAAGTACAGTGGCATCTGATACTAGCTCGGCCTCGAGAGCAGTTATGCGAACACAGGGATTTGCTGATTCAGAACATCAGCTAGTTGGGTCTTCAGGTCAACTGGGAAAAGAGCAAACTTGCCCCCTGCAGAGGATTTCTTTTCTCGGTTTGGAGCTGCACTCGGTCCAAAACACGGCGCGCCTCTCGGTGGATCACATCCGGTCGGTGCTGAACTGCCTGAATTTCATCAAGAGCAGAACAGTGGTTCACCTGAAACAATTTCAGAGGCTCCTGGGGCATATGGCAGCCGCAGTTACGCCGCTCGGCTTGCTTCATATGAGACCACTTCTTGTTGAATTTACCTCTCATTTCATCCCTCAGGCTTATAAAAAATGAATGAATTATTTAAAGATATTAAATCATTGTAAGCCTAAGTAGATTGTAGAACCATTAGTGTTGCCACCAATGGCATTGTAAAATTTTGGAAAGTGTTTGGTTTTTGTGTAAGGTTTCTGAGACTTCACATGGATTGTGTGATCTGTGATGCTTTGTGTCTCTAAACACTAAACCAGCCACAAACACTGTATAGGGAAAAGGGATTGTGTGTTTTCCTATACGACATTTGAGAATGCAGTCACACACTGGTATGAACATTTGGTTTTGAAATTTAAGATTGTATTTTTATGGTCTTTTTGCAGCTGTTGAAGTGTTATAAATTACATGGACATACACACACACACAATTCTTTATGGGCCTGTATTCTGTTCCCCTTCTTTGTGCCAAATTTGATCACTCTTTCACACACAGTCATAATGTGATCACCTGGTACGTTGGTTCTTCCCACAGAAGTTCCCTTTTAGCTGAAATGATCTCTTATGAGTCTGTGTGTTATGATTTAAGAATGTGTTTTGCTTACTGTTATTAAAGTCCCTGTAAAGGCAATTATATATATATATATATATATATAATATATAATAATAAAATTTTCAAGAAGAGCATTAATTAAAGTAATTTGTCTGAGTGATCATGTGCAACATTTTTATAGCTTATTATGTGTGAGGGTGATCCAAAGGTATTTTTTATCGCAAGTAGGCTATATTCCTCCTCATGACAGGTTAGGCTTTGACAAGCAAACGGCTAGCAACCCAGCTGTCAGAGTGACTCAATAGACACCTCAAGCTTTATGCACTGTTAGTGAGACTCTTCTCTGATGTTATAATCTGTGCAATGCTTTGAACATCTAGCTGGTCTTTAAGATGTAATTTGTGCGTTAACAACTCCAGCTCTTTGAGTTGTGTACATTAAAATCCTTTGAAATGAAAGGCGATCACTTCCTTGAATCTCACTGATTTTATTTATTTAATTTTCTATAAATAGTGGCAAGTGAAATCATTAGGATTTGAAGGACAGACAGCGGTATAAAAAAATCTCACTAAAACATTTTTACCCACTGTAAAATGCATTTTCCACTGTGTATGTTATGTTTGCAGTTGCACACATAAAGAAAAAGAATAGAAAATGATGTATTTTTCTGTATGTCTATGGGGGTTCATGCATGATAAACAATGCATTAGTATACACATCTGAATAAAGACAGAAATGAGGGAGCAGAGATGTCAGAAAATCTTTCATTGAGGAGCTTGAGATTCAGTTCAAAGGGCACTGCACTGATGTTGTGTTGCTAGGGTAACATACGGATGGAGAGTGTTTACATTATTCAAAGCTGTAACACACAGATGTGTATCTCATCAAGAAAAGTACATGTATCACCATTCACCCATCAGAGCCTGTGTTATCACCCACACAAGGACTCACCCACACACTTAGGAGTAGAGCAAGGTCCTAGTAGGCTACAAATATACTATTCTGTATGGGAAATGTTAGTAGAAAGGTTACCAGCATCTTAAACAGTATTAGAATGCATGGGCTGAAAACGGAGCTATATAACAGCATTATATATAACAAATAAATATACAAAGAAATGTATATATAATACACATATAATATATGTACATATAATATAATATACATATAATATATATATAATATATATATATATAACAAATAAATATACAAAGAAATGTAAAAAAGCAAAAATACATAAATAAATACATAAATAAATATACAAAGAAATGTAAAAAAGTAATATAAATGAGTATTTATACATTTATATCTTTATTTATGTATAATTGTATTTTTTCACACATTTATTTTTATATGAAGAGTTCAGATGCAAAAGCCTCTAAATGCCAATTGAAATTTTCTTCTAAAATGACCATTTTTATCAAGCTTGTATATTTAAGTTCAGTAATTTCACATAAATGACAATTAATAGGTAAACTTCATTGCCATTTAAGTGAAATTACTGAACATAAATATACAAGCTTGATAAAAATCATCATTTTAGAAGAAAATTTCAAATGGCACTTAGAGGCTTTTGCGTCTGAACTCTTCATATGTAAGTATAAGTAAAGTAAGTAAAATTTATGCAATTTATACAGCGCCTTTCACAGACTTAGTCACAAAGCGCTTTACAATATACAAAAATTTTGATAAAAAAATAAAATTAAACAGACAAAATCATCAACATATAAAGTACAGAGATAACCCAAAAGCTAATCTGAACAAGTGAGTCTTCACTTGTCCCTTAAAACTGTCCAGATTCTCAACCTTATAACCTAATATGTGTATTAATTAATTTTTTTCTACATTCATTTATGTATTTATGTTTTTTTCTACATTTATTTATTTTCACATTTATTTATTTCTACATTTCTTTCTCAGCATGCTAATGAGGGGGCCGTGTTTTAAATCAGACAAAAAAAAAAAAATAATAACAAAGTTTAAGTTTTATAAGCTCAAATGCTGGCCTTGCTCTCTACTGCGATGCACGTTCGTGACTCTCCTGTTCGAACTCGTTCATCATAATGAACAAATCTTTTTCCGAGTCATGTTGTTCATTCAACGAATGAAACGAACGAATTGACTCGGAAAAAGAATTGACTCAAGTGCAGGTCAGTTTTATCTGTAAATAAGCCTACTGTCCTTTTTTCTTCGTTAATTTAGTTTTGCACTGCTAGCAAATGTACGCAATAGCTACTATATGAAGGTAAAAGAGTAGCAATACTCGAGAGCATGTAGATGTGTATTTTAGAACTTGTACATAAAAATTCGCACGTGAACGCAAACCTTTACACTCTCCAATGTGAAAACCTGCAAAATAAAAAAATCGGTTGTGTGTATATATATATATATATATATATATATATATATATATATATATAATTATTCATTTCAATTCAGTCTGTCGAGTGGCCCAATGACTTTCTCTTAATAATGTTATGAATACTGCTGGGAAGCGTTTCTAAACTGTTCTCTCCCTCCGCTGGTCTCAATCGACAGAACCGCGTAAACAAGCGCGTGAGTCCCCCGCCCCTTCACTGCGCGAGCGCTCCTCTCTCTGCGCGTGCTGCTGCCAGTTCCGTGTCGGCCGCGAGTTTACCAGCCACGCACTGCCTGCACGCGCTCAATCCACCGCCGGGCTGTAACGGTGTGACTCTCTCTGGCTTCCAGACCCCTCCTCCCCCGCTTCAGTCTCCATTAACGGCCGAGCACAGAGCGAGGCGAGGGGATACGTAACGGTGAGTGTATTTCGGATGGCCACGGAACGTGGAAATCTGCGCTACGTTATCGGGTTGGGGACACTGTCACCGAATGTGTGTAAAGTTTGGGGATGGGAGAAATTGTGTCATGTGGTAAGACATAGGCTGTGTGCCCGCCAGTCCGCTCTAGTGGAGCAGACAGATGCATAATTATAGACTGTAAAAACGACGTCGCGCGAGACGAGCTCAACTTACCATGTGTTATAATTTCCATAGGGATGACGTCACGCAGTCCTTGACGCCGTGCGCGCAGCTTGCGCTGATGAGATAACGGGACTGTGACACGCGTTTCTGATGCAGATTAAAAGCTTCATAGGAACAAGCTATTGGTTTATAATGCGTTTAAATGAGATGCTAACAATCCATTCGTGTTAGTTATTATTCACATAGTAGCCTGTGAGTTGCCGTTTTCCTCTTATACAAATATGTATTACATAAAAGGCAGAGAGCATCGTAAGGAGTACGCCATCGTTAGAAATGATTGACCGATGGCGTTGTTTCTGAAACACAGTAACAGTGCATGTAAATGTGTGCATCTGTAAAAAGTTTAACCCTCAGAGACCCAAGTAGTCTATTTACAATTGTATGTTCTCTTCCCGTGTTGAAAGTGCTTTAGAAAGCTGCAAGTTATAAAAATAATAATTTAAAGCATATTTTGTTTTTGATGTGAATTTTGACATGGCAAAAATGCTGGACTTTCACAACTGTTTACGATCATAGGCAGGCTCCTCCTATACTGTGAGGACTTGTAGTGCCATGCTGTTGGGGCACATTGTCACAAGGGGGTCAGCGTGACATACTTTCACGTCATGTTTAGAGGCCTATACTGATCATTTGGAGTAGTTTATTCAGTCTATTTTTCATTTCTTTAACATAGAGAACAGTTCAAATGCTTACTTGAAAAATAGATAGGCTATTTGTTAAAAAAAGTTAACAATTGTGTTAATAGGCAGTAAGCTTATTGTGTGGCTCTCGAGAGATGTATGATATTTTTGTTTTTCCCCACCAAAACATTTGCTGTGATAGTTCAGATTATTACTCTAAACTAAAAATAAAATATGTAAATAAATTGTTTTAATCAAGCATTGCAATTTAGCTATAGGCTGCTATATGCCTTGGTGCAACACTTCACAAAACACAAGTGATTAATATGATGCTAGTGTACAACAATTAGTACCGAGTCTGACCCACTAAAAATATTGATTCATATTCTTCTTTTTGGGAGACTTTGCTCAGTAGTACTGATATTAATTTTAAACAGGCTAGACTTTGTTGTCTGTGCTTTTGATGCAAAAGAAAGAGGGCCTCACTATCCTGCTGGATCTAGTGGTTATATTGTGGCCAAGCCAATGAAAACTCAAAAGAACTCTTTAAAATGACGCACCCTTCGCTTTTCCCGTCTCTCCTGACAGGGACTTTCCTAAAATTTTTTAGACTGAAAGGAGGCTCAGCTCAAGTCTGGTTTGAGTTGGACTGGTTTCAAAAAAGAATGTGTGGTGTAATCATTTTTGATACATTCCTTGTCGTGTGCAGTCATAATATGTAACTGAAAATTCACACTAAAAGTTGGTAATTGATATTCTTACAATAACAAGTCAATAACTTTTGCATATGTTTATTTTTTATTTTTTATTCTAGGATCACTCTCTCACCAATGTCTTCGGCTCAGAGTTACAACTGCCTCAAAACTGAGGCAATGATGAAATCACCGTGGCAACCCTGTGTGGGAGCACAGGCAGCACTGTGACTCTAGCTTGTGATCTCCTGACCTCTGTGAGTCGAGATGGCAACCCACCGGAAACACCTGGTCCGAGATTTTAACCGTCACATTACCTGCTCAATTTGCCATGGATACCTGATCAAGCCCACCGCTGTCACGGAATGCCTGCACACTTGTAAGTCATTCATGTCTCGCTAATCCGCATTATGTTCTCTATGACCATCTCTCTTTTCTGATAGTAAAAGAAAACCGAATATTTTGGTCCTTCTTCTACTTTGGCCTGATTCTCTCATTCTCTCATCCTTCTTCTGTTCTTCCTTTTCTTCTTATTCCATTGTCCTCTAGTTTGTAAGAGTTGTATCATTCAGCACTTTGAGGAGAGTAATGAGTGTCCAGAATGTGGGATACAGGTCCATGAAACCAACCCTTTAGAGATGCTGAGGTAACCAAGCTCACCCGCACTAATTTCTCACATGCACAGATTAAGTACACACGCAAGTCCTCTGTTTTATGTGGTATATTGGCTTCACTTTTTTGCAGGCTAGATAAAACCCTGGAGGAGATCATCTTCAAGCTGGTGCCTGGACTAAGAGAGAGTGAGATTTATAATGCACTTCAGAGATACACTTTGTTGGCTATGTAGTTGTGCTTTAGTTGGTAAGTATTTCTATATCTGTAAATTGTTTCTTAATGTACTTTCTTTAAATTGTGTTTATTTACTAGAGGAGGAACAACAGGAAAGTGAGTTTTGGAGAAAAAATAAAATCAAAGCAAATGGAGAAGGTAATAATTAACCATTCCATACACAACCCCTTTACACACACAGTCGCGTGTACCACACGTACAGATAAACCAGATTAAAGGTCTGCTTTCCTTTGTCTTCTAGATGGCCCAAGGGCTAAGAAAGCTCGCCTAAGTGATGAAGAGGATGAGGACGGGAAAGGTGGAGACTACCACAGGAGTGATCCTCAGATCGCTATTTGTCTGGACTGTCTACGTAACAATAGCCAATCAGGAGAAAGCACTGTTAAGGTGCACAGACACAGTATAGTTTAATATTTTGTGTGTATATGTTGAGATGTATGTTTGTGTGTGTGTGTTTATAATTTGCACCCCATGTCTCTTTGAAACAGGGTTTAATGAAGAAATTCATCCGTTGCTCCACCCGTGTTACGGTGGGAACCATTAAGAAGTTCCTCTGTGTAAAATTGAAGCTGCCAAGCTCTTATGAGGTAAAATACTGTTTTATCACTCTATCACTGTGCTGTCAATTCAGGCACTGCATTTGTGTGAGTGTATTGAGACTTAATAGATTTCTTTCACAGTTCAGCACAGATATTAATAAATAAGCTCTTGATGGGTTTACCCGTCAGACTCAGTTGTGAAGCTTGATATTCAATGAAAATTGTTTCATTTGAGGTTACTTTTCTTAGCCTCTGCTGTAGTGCATGTGTAACATGCCATATTCTTCATAAAGTTCATAAAACAAGCTTGTCCGTATTTCTTACAGCTCGACGTTTTGTGTAACGGGGAGATCATGGGCAAAGACCACACCCTGGAATTCATCTATCGCACTCGCTGGAGACTTCAGGGTGACAGCGTAAGTCTGTATGTGTGTGGGTCAAATTTTTCCAACATTGTTTAGGCTGAATGTCCCCCAAGGATAGTAAAACCAGAATAACTTACATTATATGGAACAGCGTATCATCCCCAGAAGGAAAATGGCTTTATAAACATGCTTAATATTTTCTCCAGGGTTTGGGGATGAAAAATATCATTACCTCAGTTTTAAAATCATCAAAGTTATTTTAAAGTCACCACAATTATTGAAAAGCAAATGTATGTATATATGTTTATCTGTGTGTCAACAGTACCTTTAATTTATTATTTTCTGGGTTGTCAAAGTTACTGTTCACTTAACATATAGGTTTTTACATTTACGGTCACATTCACCAAGTCTGATAATATTACTGCTATCATGAGATTAATTGTGATTATTTTATTCTGGTATTCTATTTTTTACCAGTAAGAACAAAACAAAACAGTTTTTGTCACCAAAACACTCACTAAAAAGTACATTTTCCCCCAGATAACAGTTTAAAGCCAGTATAAAATGGAAATAGGAAATCTATTCCACATCTAAATGGGTGTTATTGATCAGATTATAAATGATTAATCTGTGCATGTTTCATTTTTTTGGTAACTTATCATTTTTAATCTTCCCTCATTTAGTCTACTTAAACCTAGCACCTTTCTAACAATTGGCTGCAAGCTCACATTTAGACCTGTCTCCATCCAATCAACAACAAATGGATAGAACCAAGACCCACCGTACATGTTTTGCTTTTTCGATTAACTGTTTCACTTGGATATACATCACATTACGGAATAAGAAAAACTGTCACTACATTTGTTTCATTGTGTATTCTTTCACACAGTATAAATAAAAAAATATAGCTGCATTTATATTTTAGGATCACGGATCATCATATTATATTCAAAATCTTTGGCATTGAAAGGTTTGAAAAACCTTTTCTAGAAACATTGACAGGTAAATTATTGAAAAGTTAGTTTGACCCTGAAAATCTGGGTGTGTGCTCATGAGAAGTGTGAACAGCTGTCTCTGAGTTGGTGGTAGTGGTGGGGCAGAGGCAAAAGGAAAAAAAAAAACTGCTCACAGCTACTGACAGATCTATGAGTCATATTTCTCCAGTTACACAGAAACACACACACACACACGGGTATGTCGCTAGTGGGGCGAAGGGTAGTGACAATTATAGGGGCACAAAATCCAGCAGTTAAACTATATAGGCCCCTGTTGTATGAATAATTCTAATATTTATATTAGTTGTATGCCTGAGATTTAAATGAAAACCATGAAAAAAAATGCAATTTGGTTAAATCTTTTTTTTCCAAATATCTGTTTCTCTTACCTCCCTAAAAATGGTTTAGTCTGATCTAAAGTATTTATTAATTATTCAGTCAGTGACAAATATCAGATGGACCCAATACATTTGTAAGTGCCACCCACCCTAGCTCGTGAACGGAACCAATCAGAGTTGAGGCGACATATCTGAAGTTAACAATGAACTTGGTGGAAGAGCAAGAGATTGACTGTCGGAAAAATGTTGTGGAAAAGATACTGTAACATAGATCAGGGTACCAGAAACGCCATGAAAACAAGGAGAGGGAGGCCATGAGAGTTGTTGTATCCCAGTCAATCAGGTTATGTATTGTTATTTAGCTGGAAATAAAAACTACCGTCTACTCTACATTACAGCCTGTCACTTTTCATTATCGGTGTGCACCACAATCAACCAAATGATTACGTGGTCAAAATCCCTGTCTTTTTACACTATTGTTAATAGAGTTTAAAAAAATTGACATGAGTCACGATGCATTGCATTAGGCACCTGACCTGCTGGCTGATGATGTATTCATTACATCATCAGAATCCTCTAGGTATGGTCCTGCACACACACACACACACACACACTGGAGGTTGAAACAAAATCAGATCTGAGGACACATAGATGCCGCTAGGTTTGTGTCCTTGCCTTTTACACCACAAGGACTATGACAATATAATGGATATTATATTGCGCATCAGAAAATGTGAAGTCATTCTTTACTTTCGTTTTCACCCCAGGCTTATCCCATGGTTCTCGAATACCGTCCAAGGATTGACTTTGGTTAAACAGCACTTACAGCTTTTGTGGAAATCTCATGCAGACTGATGTCAAGAGATGGACAAAAAGCAGAAAAACTGAATGATTGTGCCTCTGTTGAAAGTCAACAACACAAAGCTCCATGACTGACAGGACTGCTCTCCTTCCTGTGTACTGCTTCAGCCTCTACTCCTCCATTCCTCCCTCCTTCATGTTCCTGTTTGACAGTTGTGGCTCCGCCCACTGGCACTGTATCAAGTTTGATGATTATATTCCTCCAAAGCTTTCTCTGCATGTTGTCTCTATGACAACGCCTTAGCATTCAGCGGCCCGTTGGGATTATCTGATAGCAATCTAGAAATCACAGAAAGTAAGCTAAAACTCATCGCAAAGCTGCGTCTTGGCCAGGTGACAGGAGAGAGAGAAAATGGAGACGTTTTTAAAATGAAGTCTCGCTAGGTAGATTTTAGAATGTTTTATTAGGTGTTTTTATCCAAGATTTTGCACTAGAGTCAAATCCAAATGTCTCGCTATAGTGTTCCTAATCTATCTTACCTTTTACACTCTCTCTCTTTACTTTTATTTACTTTTCTTTCCTGCTCTAACCACCCACATTGTCCCTCTCTCTCTCTCTCTCTCTCTCTCTCTCTCTCTCTCTCTCTCTCTCTTTCTTTTGCACACACACACACACACACTCACTTTCTCAGCCAATTTCTATCTTCCCTCATACTCTCATTTTTCTCCAATGGTGTTTTTGGCTCTAGTCAGAAGTATTGATGGATCTCATTCAGATGGAATTGAATGAGAGCGCTGTAGATGTCCCAAAATAACAGCACTGAAAGGCACTCTGGGTAAGCATTTTTCCTTCACACTGTGAAGGCCAAGTCTTACATTTAACCAAACCAGATCATTTTTTTATAGAAATGATATAAGATTAACTGATACCAGATATGCTTAATGCATTAATTCATTGAAAATTCTCATCTTTAAAAACAGCTGAATGGGGAATGACTGAAGGGTTCCAGCTGCATCTATCTAAGAGCCGCTTTGAACTCACAGTCTGTTAGCTGTAAACATTCTGTTGTTTCCTGTTAATCAGAAATATATTTGAGACATTCCAATCAAATCCACCTCAATAGATGTTTTAATTTTAAAACCCAGAATGTCAATAATGCACTTTTTACAGTGTGTTTTGAGTGTGATGCGGCAAAATAATGCTATACTGATGCAACAATGTTTGGTTAAACATAATTAAGTGGAAAACATGCACTTTCTAAAAATGTGTGATGTCTGGAAAAACAACTGCACAAGGGACATGCAATAATGCATTTGTCTATTTCCACAAAGTGGAAGAAAAGTTCAAATCCAATATTTCTCAATGTGTTCCTCTATATCAAGTCACGGACATGGACTTTAAAATTCAGTCATCACGTTTTAAATATTTTAAATATTAAAGGTGTGTTTTGGAGCATTAGTTCAGACAAGGTAATAGGTTAGCTTTCTACATTTGTTTAAATGACAGTGTAAATCTTTACTGTATGTTTAGTGGCCTAGAATCATTTAAAATCATAATTACAAGTAAATGATCGCCAAACTGAAAAAGTTGCCAAACCGATTTCATGCACATTAAGGGGAATTAAGGGTTCAAACCATCTAGCTTTGCCAATCCAGATTATATTCCACAAAAATGATGTGATGGTAAAGGATTACATGAATCATTACGTAAACCTTTGATTTGGATCATCTCAGGGGGTGACGACATGCGAAATGAGGGTTTGTTCTGTGTTCTCCAGTTTTGGAATCAAGGAATCTTAACAATGGGTGTTTGAAATTAGAGTCGCTTCAGTGCTGTAAATCATTACAGTTAATCTAAAGATGAATTTAGAATGAGTCTGAATTGCTCAGCAACACTGTTTTAAGTGGATTGTACCTATGTCTACCAATAGTAAAAATATATTTGTCCAAATGTTTCTTATGACAAGCTAAAACTTCATGTTATACCAACATGATCTATTGTACTGAATCTTAAAAATCATTTGCACTGTCTGTCAGTTCAGTGGAATTCTTGACGTTGTTGTTTTGGACAAAGGCCACTGGCTGCTCTCCCAAATCCAATTTCCTCCCCACTAAGAAAACATGCAAATCAAATATGAAGTGTCTTTAAGCTCTGATTATAAATACGATGTATTTTTGTATGTTGACGCACTTATGTATATTTGAACCTATAATCAAAAGATTTTGTCAATGCTTGTCTTTTTCCTAATAGATGATGCTGCTTGGGGTAATTAGGGCCCAAGCCTTGAAAAGGCGAAGGTCCTATTGTTTTCCTTAGGATTATTTATTCTTTTTTTTATACGTCCCCCCGCCTGCTATATGTGTTCCTCTTGTAAATGTTCGCACTGTACATGAAAAGCTACCTAATGCGGTTCTCATTACATATTGTTATTTAATTAATGAACATTAAAATATGACAAAAAATAGTGGGTTTTCTTCGACTGAATTCTAGAAACATTCGTTTTTTTCTGTAAACATTCTGAAAGCTGCCTAATATACTTGCATGACAGTATAACTTGCCATTAGATCTTCTTAGATTGAAGAATTTTAGAAGTCTTTGCATTAAATACTAATATTAAAATAGACTGAGGGCAGCAGACCTTAAAACAGAGAAGCTAAAACTTTGAAGTTGTTGAAAGCCATTCTTTGAAACCACCGGTTCAAGTGTGATGATATTAGTGTGTCTTTAAATCTGACAATGAATAACAAAGACATGGAATGTGCCTTCTTTTAGACTGTTTCTATGCACAGCTCCCTGTTTCTCTCTCTTTCTTTCTCCCCCTCTCATGCAAAAGGAAGTGGAATGTGACATGCATTCTTCTTTTAGTCCGTGCATCACTTGTTCAGCTGTCTGTTTGCCCTGCCGTTCTCTCTCAAAAGAGAAGGTCAAAAATACTTAATCTAGGGCAAAGGCAACACACACTTAATCACAAATATGTCCATGCCCATGCAGCAACACTTATTTTATTGTAGTTATGAGCTGAAGTTGTTCAAATGTTTGCTGTTGGATTTTAGAAGAGCTGTCAGCAATAAGTTTGTTTGGATGTTTGCAGTACAATGCAAGTGTTTGCAGATTTTTTAAATTGTGAAATAAATCAGTCACCCCAAATTCTTTAAATGTGAAATCTACACGATGAACTGTTAATGTTAACATAGACAAGAATATAAACATGTTTATAAAAAACACATTCATCCCACAAATGTAAATAAACAAAGAAAGTCTGGCACTGTCTCTCTTTTTTTGTCTTCCCTTTCATCGTGGAATGTTACAAACAACTCTATTTTTAGTCAGTCAAGATTGTTGACAAAAGATGCCAGTTTCTCAGCATTCTTGTTATTAATCAATAACAAATAGTTATAAAAAAGCTAAAAAAAAAAAAAAAAAAGCTAATGAAACAGACATTAGGAACTTTAAAAAATAAATAATGATTATATATAATCATTTGCTTTGTAGGTTCAGCCTCGAATACAACAATGTTCTTGATTCAAGTCACTTTTCTTTCTTGGGATAGAATCTCCATTACAACAACTATAATTTCAGTACCCATATTGCACTAAAGGTGCTCTTAGTTCCATATATAAGTACTTTATTTCATAAACACATTTTTATTTTTTGATAGTCATCATACGGAGAGGGAAGGGAGACACAAAATAGTGTTTAATTTGTTATCCTCTCAGTCTCCACTTCTTGCTGTTTTGTTGCATCATTCTGCTGACATGTGTTTTAGCCTATTATCTATTGGCTAATTGCATTATTCAAGAGAGTGACAGTCATGGTCCCTCCTGAGTCCTGTCCAATGACTTAATAACACAGCTGTTCTCTTTTAGACCTGTCACTGGCCAGATAATGGAGCTGATCGAGCCCGTTCTCTGGCTGATCACTGGGTGTATTCTGGTAGCACTGTGTTCATTTGGATCTTGTTAGCATAGATGATCTAATTTGAACTTCTATCCTATATTTCTCTCACATTTTCTTCCCATGAAGTCATAAGTTTAATGTCAGTGGTATCTTGACCTTCCAAATTTAGACCTCAAGATCAAGCCACATGGCACCAATAGGATTATATATAGGTGTGACATCACTACAGTTTTTTTTTTGGGGGGGGGGGGGGGGGGCACGTGTTACGTTTCACAATGACATCACAACTGTGCCAAAGGTCAGAACATATTTGTACTTCCTATTCAAAGAATCCTAAAAAAATGTCTCAGTTTCTGTAAAAAGATTGAGCAGTACAACTGTTTTTAACTTAGGTTATAATGAGTAGGCTATATTCAAAAGATTTCTGATGGATTGTGTCACACTAAATTAAGACTGGACAAGTGGCCTGTGAAAATTCAGCTTTGCTACGAGACGAATAAAATAAAATTACATATTAAAATAGAAAAAAAAGTTAAATTGTCTTAAATTGTAGTTTTATGTCAAAATATTACTGTGCTTTCTTAAAAAAAAAAATAATAGGCTACATGTTTTCAGTGAAACGGCCTTGGAGCGCCGCGTTGCATTCTGGGACGTGGCGCCCATGTTGACAGCTTCGCAAATGTAAACATACCAGGCAGCAAGTCGAACGAGGAGAAGCAGCTGAGTTGGGAGAAAGAAAATAAAAAAAAGATGTTAAAACCCCTAAAAGGATGCGGAATTTACCGAGATACGTTTGATAGGGAAACCAGGGACCGATGTGGATAAAACGGCACTTTTAATGGGTTGGATCCATTTGAAATTTCCAACAAACAGTGCAGTGGGAGCACTACGTTACGCTAACTTGGAAAAAGGTAAACTGCGCTCCACCTAGCTGCTAGTTTAGTAACAGTTATGGTGCTAACAACCATTCACACATGTAACATACTTTTAACTATGTGTTTTCAAAAGTGTAGTTGTTAGTAACGTTAGCTGTTTTAAGTAGTGATGGCGAGATGAAGCTTCATAAAGCATTGAAGCGTTCCATCCAATTGGTTCACTCATGTGCCGAAGCTTCATGGTGCTTCATTTGCTCTATTGTGCCATCAAGTGGACAGTAAATGTAAAACGTGCAGTGTGATTGTAATGACACTATGGCTTTGGTGTCTGAAGCATTGAATGAATTAATCAATGATGTTTGTGATGCTTATACATAAAGTATAAACTTTTATATGGTGTCTGTCTTTATGATATTATGACAGGGTCAAAATGAAAAGTGGAAACAAGGGAGAGCATTGAATGTCAGCGTTGAATGTGCTTGTGTTACTTATTTTTTATTTTATTCACTTTTATTTAAAAATAACAACTTCTCCAGAGTGCTCGGCTTCAGGTGGCTTCTTTTAAAAAAAATTTTCATTCATATTTCAAATAGACCGCCAAACCAGAGCCCGTCTAACGGAGAGCCTTGGCACTTCCTATTAGCCCCATTGTGTATTATCTTGGTTGCAGTTCCATCAGAATTCCATTGGAGGTGATCGCGGGCGAGTGGAGAATGAATGGGGGTCTATGGGGCTAAACTGCTAAAAGTGTCTCTTTCACCTGCTTGTCGTTTAATCAAAATAGATTATATTGTTGATTCCGCAAGTTTAATATAGATTATAGGCCAAAAGTCGAATGAACGAGTACTTATGTCCTTTTGATTTCTTACAGGTTAGGCTGTTGTTGGCCGGAACACGCTAGCATTCTGCTATTGTGTGACGTCCTCACATTTTTGAATGGATTTTTAGAAAAGATAAGTGAACTTAAAAATGCAATTTTCAGCTGAGTGTATTTTCTTAGCCCTCCCTTTTGAATGCAACTTTCAAATTACTTGACAAAAAATTACATCCTGAGAAAAGTGGATTTCTGGGGGTGAAACCCCATTGACTCCTATTCATTCTGCACTCGACCGCGAGCGCCCTCGCATGGACAGAGCCAGTCCAGAACCCGGAAGTAACCAGCCAGTGCCAATAGGGGATTATCATGCTTCCAGGTTTCATGGGCGGGATTTGTCAACTTTGTGCATGTGCATGTCCACTTCCGACGCAGTTCAACAATGCCTGAGACGAATGCTATATATGTCACTGCTCTGTTCCACGTTGTAAATCTAACCAACAACGCCAACCCTACTTACGTTTTCATGGATTCCCGACTGAATTGAGTATAAGGAAGAAGTGGATTAAAACTTTAAAATAAAACAAGGTAGCACGTTTGTTTGCAGCCGGCACTTTAGTGAATCAGACTAATTTACCAGGGATGCCGTATAAATAAACTTAGTGTAGTCCTTCATCAGTTCGCCAGTGAGATCGGTAATTCAACGGAAATGGCAGTGCACAAAGATCACAGAATCCGGAAGTACTACGTATCATCGTGATAATCCCCTATTCTCTTCAATTAGACATTCTCTGGACAAACCGCGAACCACTTCCTGAAGTTGTACTGCCAAGTTGTCTGCCACATTTGAGCAGTCCATGAATATTTGAGAGCGAGTTGAGCATCTGTTGCAACCGTAGTTAGACCTTTTTTACAGTCTATGAGGAAGACAAATGAATATAGCCTAATAACTATGAAATAGACTTTAGCATATGATTTTGCTAAACTAACATAATACAGCAAGACGAAGGTGTTAAAAATATTAGGCTACAATTGCCTTAGTAAAAACATGTAATATTGAGTTAATAGTCTACAAAACAACAAAAACAACACATTCTTATATCTGCTTACTCTAACTTATGTATTTCTAACAGCTTGATTATATCTTTAATAATGTCCTTTAAATTATATGAACATCTTCCTTTAAATGCTTATGAATACCTACAGTTTCAATGTTAGTAAAAGTTACACACATCTAAAACATGTAATAAAATAAAAGAAAACATATAGAAGAAAATAAAAGAACACATATAAAAGAAAAGAAACATATCTAAATGTAAATATAAATGTAAAAATAGCCATCACAACTGATACATAATATACAATAAAAAATAAAAACAATAATGATGTGTAGTGATAAAAGGTACCCTGGCATCCTGGCTAAATTTGCCCCTTGACCTCTGTCCATCATGGCCACCTAATCATCCCCATATATATATGTATATACACCAATTGACATCATCACTCTGTCTCCTCTCCACCAGTAAACTGGTGTGTGGTCAGCGTTCTGGCGCAATATGGCTGCTGTCACGTCATCGAGGTGGATGCTGCACATTGGTGGTGGTTAAAGAGATTCCCCCTTCTATGTGCAGAGAAATGTATAAATTAAATATAAATTAAAGTATAAATGTAATGAATAATAATAATAAATAATTTATAATAAAAATGGAAACAATATTCCATATAAAATAATTCTATGGTGACTTTAAGAGAGTTGTTTCAATGAAATAAAGTGTCAGCATTACTTGACAAGCTTTACTTGTTATTTGTTCTGTCATAAATTTGAAAAGGATGTTTCTTTGTGCACAGTCACACCATAATCCAAAAACGTGTAAAAGACGGTAATGTTGGTGTTTTTGAGTCTGCATGGAAGGTGCTGCTTCCCCCCCACAGTCGTTTCTTTTTCATGCCTAAAAAATGTGCCTGTAGATTTCGCCTGCACATTCACTAAGCACCTCATTTGAGCCTGAAGTACATATAAAAAAGCCAATGTCGGTGCTGGAAGAGCCTTTGGCCAGCAGGGGGTGCTCGTCCTGCAGACTCTGAGATTTATGTAAAAAGGCACCTTTTGTGGTAAAAGGTGCCTTTTTACATAAATCTCAGAGGTGAATAATCTTTTAAGGTGAATAATACAAATGGTCAATAATCTGTCTCAGAAGGACTATGGCATGGGTGTAACCCTGGGATGAAATAGTATGTAGAAATGAACTGAACACAATACTAATAATAGCCCCTTTCACCTTCTGTTATAACCCATGAGAGGGAGACAAAAAGCTTTTCAGAGACTTCAGA